CGCGCGAAGGACGGCGGCGCACACGGGAGAGAGGGAAAAAAGGGGAGCGGAGGGGAGCCTCACCGGCGAGCACGGCGACCAAAGCGGAGGATGAAAGGCGGCGGTGACCCGGCGACGAGGAGGGGCGGACGGGCGGAGGCGACACCTATAGGAAAGGAGGAGAGGGATTAGGGGTGGAGAGGACGACCGCAACGACAAAAGTGGCCGGCCGGAGATGGATGAAAAAGGAGAGCTCACCGGCGAGCGAGGGAAACGGGGTTTCGGGGGTGATTGGCGGCAACCAAGCGGTGGCCGAGGAGCGGACGGCACCCGCGAGCGCGACGACGGCGGCTTCACGGCGCGGCAGCGGCTCTAGCGGCGGTGGCGCGCGGCCGGAGACGGCGGTAGGCGGCGGCGTAAGGGGCGAGCGGCGCGGCGACGATAGGAAGCACGGGAGAGCGCGGCGAATGAGGGAAAACGAAAGAGGGGGCTCGGGAGAGTGCTTTTATGGGCGAGGGAGGGGAGGACGTGGCCGGGAACCCTCCCGATTTGGCCGGCGACGTGGGGAGGAGAGAGAGAGAGAGGGGTGGGATTCGAAATCGAATCCCTCCCTCTCGAGCGCGCGCACGGGCCGGGAGATGTGGGGAAGGTGGGCGGCGACGCGGGCGCGGAGTGGGGCGCGAAGAGGGACGGAGAAGGCAGGCGGCGTGGGGAGGTGGGGCGCCGGCGGTTGGGGCTCGGCTCCAACCGGCTAAAGGAGGAAGACGACCGACAGGTGGGCCCCACCTGTCGGCGCCCGAAGGAGAGAGGGAGGGAGGGAGGACTTCGGGGAGGGGAGAAGGAACGGGCCGGCCCAGGAAAGGGGCGCCGAGCGCGGGGAGAGAGATGGGCCGACGGCCCATCTAGAGAAAAAGGAAGGAAAAGAAAAGAAAAAGAGGGGAAGGATTTTCCTGGGATTAAAATTGCACTTTGGTGATTCTTAATTGGTTAAAATTATTTCCAAGGCTCTGAAAATTCCACTAAAAATCTTGTTAATGCATTGGAGCATGGGGAACTCAAGAAAAATTCCACCACGCTATTTCCGATTATTAATTGCATTTATTAATTAAGGAATTAGCTCTAGGTTAATTAAGATAATTTCTTCGGACGATTTATTTAGCCAATTTTTAAAGCAAGGAGAGGGGGAAACTTCAGGGCGTGACAATAACTTTGGTTATTTCTCTCACCCAGGTACAGTATCCATCACATATGAAGCCTGAGGACGACTTTGGTTATTTCTCTCACCCACGTGCAGTCTATGGATATATCACTACCAGAAAACTCATTTTTTATCCTAGTTCCCAAAACACAGATTTATCGGATGTATTAATAACCCAGGTCTCTAAAAATATCTTTAGTCCCAATTAGTGATACCAACCGGTACTAAAGATGCGTTTTTAGTATCGGTTGGTGTTGGACTAAATATATTTTTAGCATCGGTTGGTACACTAAAGATGTCTCCAGGGTTAGTTAAAAAAAGCATCTCTATTTAAGTTAGATGTGTATAGTAGGTGAGATGGTATGCGCGTGAGAGAATCTCTAGTCCCACATTTCTTTTAGCTTCAGTATATATCTTTAGGATTGAGATCTTTAGTCTCGGTTTTTTTTTCTCGGTACTAGAAAACTAATTTTCGCGAGCGGCCAAAACCAATTTTCGCAAGCGGCCAAAACCAATTTTCGCAGGCGGGAGAGAGGTCTGCGCCACAACGACTGCGACAACGGCCCGCCTACGAAAATGGAAGGAACCAAAAAAAAAATCGCCGGCCCGCGCCGGGAGCCACCGCCGTCGTCACCGCCACCGGCCTCCCCCTCCCTCCTCCGGCCAGATCTGGGAGGGAGGGGGAGGGGAGCCGCAGCCGCCCCGTGCCGGAGCCGTCGTCGTCGCAGCCCCGCGCCCCGCCGGCCACGTGCCTCGCCGCCGCCGCCCTCCCCCGGCCTCCCTCCGGCCGGATCTGGGAGGGGAGGGGAGAGGAGCCGCCGCCGCCGCACCAAAGCCGTCGTCGCCGCCCTCCCCCAGCCTCCCTCTGGCCAGATCTGGAGGGGAGCCGCTGCCGCTGCCATCCGGAGCAGTCGTCGTCGCCGCACCGCGCCCCGCCGACCACATGCCTCGCCGTCGCCGCCCTCCCCAGCCTCCCTCCGGCCAGATCTGGGACGGGAGAGGAGCCGCTGCCGCCCAGAGCCGTCGTCGTCGCCGTCCACGCCGCCGCCGCCACGTCCGCGCCGCCGGTGGAGGGAGGAAGGGGAGGGGAGGGGAGGGGACGGCCCGGCCCGGCCGGTGGGGAGAAGTGCCGTTGAGGGAGAGAGAGGGAAATGATTGGTGGGGAGGGGGTGGAGGAGAAGATAAGGAGTTAGATTTTTTCGGGGTAGGTACGATTTTTGCAGCGTGACCACATAAGCGGCGCCTGCGAAAATAGACGCCTGCAAAAATAGATTTTCGCAGGCGAAGAGCCAACTTCACCCCGATTTATATTTTTGTAGGCGGTCATTTGGCTCCAAGGGTCATGTCCGCCTGCGAAAAAAAGACCCCCACGTCGAGAAAAATACATTTTCTAGTAGTATATAACCGATAATAAAGGAGGTTACAAACCGGTAATAAACAGCCGTTCTCTATCAGTGTATGTCTAGCTCTGGCTGGTAATAACAGAGCCGCTCTTTAGCAGTGTATATGCCGGATCTGGCTTGAGTGCAGAGGTGCGTGTGGGTGCTTTGAGTTTGTACGCGAGTTTAGAAGCTAACAGCTTAGAGCATCTCCAAGAGAGTGGCCAAATGCCTCTCCAAGCCAAATTATAACCAACACATGAAAAAAATGTACTCCAACAGCCTCTCCAACTGGCTGGCCAAGCCATCTCGCTGGCCAAACCATGCTAGCAACTGGCCAAATCTAGCCAGCCACAACCGCTGGCCAACTGTGGGCCCCATGCCCTCTCCCCCTTCCCGCAACCTCTCCTCTTCCTTCTCTCTCTTCCTTGCCATCGCTCTCTTCCTCCGACGCCACAGATCGCAAGGGAGCACCGCTGGCTTCCCCTCTCCGGGCGCCGGCCACCTTCCCTCCAGCAATGTTGCCGACCACCTCCCCTCCAGCGTTGGCGTCACACCTTCCCTGCCCTCTCCATGGCGAGGATTCCAGTGTTGCTCATCCGGCTCCCCCGACTGAGCCGCCACATCCGGCGCCGTCGCCTCCGGCGTCGACCGCATCCGGCGGCGTCGCCTCCGCCCCCAACCCCATCCGGCGCCGCCGCCTCCACCGCCGGCCTCATCCGGCGATGCCGCCTCCGCCGCCGGCCGCATCCGGCGACGCCGCCTCCGTCCCCGACCCCATCCGGCGCCGCCGCCTCCGTCCCCAGTCCCATCCGGCGCCGCCGCCTCCGCCGCCGGCCACATCAGGTGACGCCGCCTCCGTCCCTGCCCCCATCCGGCTCCGCTGCCGGCCACATCCGGCGACGCCGCCCCAGCCACATCCGCCGCATCTCCTCTCTACGGTCGTCGTCGTGCGGGAACAAGGCTGAGAGAAGAGGAAGAGGGAGAGAAAGAGGAAGAAGGTGAAGTAGAAGCTGATGTGTGGGTCCCATTGTCATAGGCTCATAATGGAGAGTGTAGATGAAGAGGCTGTTGGAGTGAGGAATGAGTTTGGCTTGACAAATCAATTGGAGAGCTGGTTATATGGGTGTTTGGAGAGTCTAATTTAGAGAGACTGTTGGAGATGCTCTTATACATGTACTCCTATGCTTGAAGGGTTGACGCATAAAAAATAATGAAGTAGTGATAAATAAACATTTTTCTGAAAGGGTAACAATAAAGGACATGTAGTTCGGCTGCAATACTTGCTGCAGCTGCTGCCGTAGCCATTAAGGATCTCATTATTTTTGCTTATACTTATACTTATCAGTCAACTTTTAAATTTTTAACCTTAAATTTAAAGCTGATTTTGAGATTTTTTACGTATATGTTAGGTTTATAATTAGGATGGGATTTTTTTATTTTACGGAGGGGTATACTGAAAGGGTTGACGCATAATAAAAATGAAGTAGTGATAAATAAATAGTTTATGAAAGGGTATCAATATATAAACATGAAGAGAATTCGAGGAGACGTGGTGTCCAGATAATTACGCTAGCAACGGCTCTTTTATGCACACCGCTCGAGAGCACAAGAGACGCAGCTAAGCACGTGGCCCCAGCCCCACACGCCACACGCGCACGGAACGGCAGGCGCACCGCCCCCGTGCACTCTGGAAACGAGGAGCGATCGATCTCACAGATACTGAACGGTGAATAGCTAAAGTGGTCCTCCAAGTTTCACTTTAGATTCAGTTTAGTTCTTAATGTTTTAATCTATCTATATTAGTCCTTTAAGTTTTCATTTTAATTCAAACTTATCCTTGAACAAAAACTCTCTTGATAAATGACATTTATACCCCCATCAATCACATATATAAGAGAAAAATTGTATGCTTGATTTTTTTTATAGATAATGTATAGTAAATTATGTAAAACGAAAATAAATTATGTACTAGCAAGTATATACGATAGCAATTGCTTAAATTTTATGTGCACATATTAAAAAAATGGTAAATATATCTGCAATATTGTTTATTCATCTTGTTTTCTCCTTTTTTTAAGTATATAGTTGTATATAAATTAAGGGCAAAAGGGATATTTTCTAATAGAAATATTGACTTAAAAATAGCCATATGGCATATTAAGTGGGTCCAAGGATGATGTCAAGTCAAAACAAATATTTAGAGGAGCTATATGGACAACATGAAACGTGAAGAATCAAATTAAGCCTTCAGTGAAATTTAAGGAACTAAATTAGGTATTTACCCAATAGTGAAATAGACGAGGACACCCACAACCGCTTCCCCCGCACCGCACGGGCGCCATGCTTCGCGCGACTTGGCCACAGCAACAGGCAGGCTGGTCCACGCCGTCGGCGGCTTGGCTTTTACCGATCGCTACGCTTTGCGAGCGCATTTCGTCGGGGGCCCGCGTGCGGCGTCGCCTTCCATCCGCATCAAAAGCGAACCGGTGGAGCCGTGTTCCTCACCTTTCCCCTTCTCTCTTCTTCTTCTTCTTCCCGTTGTTGTGTTTCTCTCCACTTCACTGTGCTGCTGTTCGTGGAGGAGGAGGAGGAGATGGCGGACTGGGCGCCGGTGGTGGTGGGGGTGGTGCTGTTCGTGCTGCTCTCGCCGGGGCTGCTGGTGGAGCTCCCCGGCACGCACCGCCACGTCGACTTCGGCAGCTTCCGCACCAACGGCAAGGCCATCTTCGTCCACACCCTCATCTTCTTCGCCGCCTTCGCCATCCTCACCCTCGCCCTCCACCTCCACATCTACACCGGCTAGTCACCTAGTACTCTTCTCCAATTTCCATCCATCTCTCTCATTCCCTCCTCCCTTCAATTTCACTTCGTCTCTCTCCTACTCCTATGCATACTAATTACTTAGTAATTTCTAGCTAGCTGCTCTGTAACAAGGGAAATATTTACTGCAACTGTACTATGCTAGCCCGCTACTGAGTGCAGGAAACTGTAAGTCGATTGAAGCTCTTCTGTTGAATCTAGCTAGCAAAGAATGTCAATTTCTTGTTGCTGCATACTGTTCCTGCCTCTTCCTTTGTTTGTTCTTAGTTTCTAGGAGTACTCATCATGTGGATCGATCGAGTGTCGTCCCGGCCTATGTTACATGCTCGTTTGTTAGTGTGCGCAGGGGAGCCAATGCATTTTTGTCAGCAGATCAGTATACCTACTACGTATAAACCACGGTTGCTTCAACATATTGAAGTTCATTGCAGAATTTAGGTCGCCTTTTCTGGATTCTGAACATGTTGTTAGTCCGTTCGGTCATATATGCTTATGCTTCTTGATCGATCGATCGTTTTCTGACAAGGAACCGAGGGATCAGGTAGCTTTTTCTTCGGAACCTTATACTCTATTGGGATAAGGAGAAGACCACGTGACAGCGAGAAATCAATCGATCGATCTGCCTTCGTCTCCTGCTACTTGTAAGCTGGACTAGTACCCGGACGAAATCGATGCGTTACTATAGCGTGTACGGTTAATCACCTATGAATCATTTCTTCCTATACAGTCGGTATCCACTATAAGTCATTTATGCTATAAAGCTCAAATTCTGTGAGGCCAAATCATCAAGATTATATTGACCTTTAGATCATCTCGCGTCTACGCAAATCAACCGTTAGATCAAGTTCTTCTCATCCGATGGCATCTGAGAGAACCAATGTTTTTTATCTTCCTCTTAATTACCTCATGCATCGTTATATCTCCCTTTATCACTAACCACAAATACATCTCTCACCCGAAAGCCTACACCACTATATTTGTGTCTACCTTTTTCTCATTCCCTTTAATTTTTCTAATGCATCTACTAGCCATATCTAGGTTGATCCAATGGATTTCCTCAATCATCTAAGGAGGAAATTTAAATGGTCCAATGAAATTTGGTTTGTCACTGTCATAGATGACATCGAAAATTTATTGGTACAGATTACAACACTCGATGATCTTTACCAATTGCAAGGATGTTTATCTCCTATGGTGATTGGATTTTGGCACTCTATCATGATCTTGCTTCTTTTTATATCTGATTTCTTCGTTTATCACCCAGCTTCATATACCAATGTATCACAACTATGGTAACTTCAATTTTTGGTAACTTTTAGTATCGAGGGATTGGTCCACTCTCACATTTGACTATCTACATTTGATTAAAAGGCTATGCCATATTTTTGTGCTTTTCATACCAACAATCACTAAATTTGTTTCTCCATGGTTCCTTCCATTTACTTATAGGTGAACATTTTTCTTGAAATTACTAGATTCATGCACCTAATAGTTGTTTTTTTAAGATCATATACCAACATATGCATGCAGCGTTATCCATATTTTCTCTTTGTTTTCTCGCAAAAAGAAATATTTTATTAGTTGTTTAAAATATCTGAATGAGATGCTAAGTCAATTTAGTACATAATAAAAATAGTGTCATGTTTGCTTACCATTCATGGTTCTTAATTAGAATCATGTCATTTATTCATATAGCAATACGATGTAAAGATCGAACGTTCAACCATGTTGATCATGCAATTTTGATAAATTTACAACTATATGTTCCCTTCTGTGTGATGATAATATACCAATAGTCAAAAGTTCTAGAATTACATCTTCCAAATTCACGATATAGCTATCCCACAGCAACGCGCGGGTATCAACTAGTTGTCTTTGATTTTTTTACTCCCGAATGAGAAATTGTGCCCTATTTTAAGTAATTTATAATATCTAATAATAACTTTATGATAGTATTTTTTAAGATAAATGATTCCATTTTCTAACAAAGCATTTGAATAATTAATAACAGTTCAGTTTTTCAATAGTTTGTAGGATTTTATCCCAGAAGTCAAATATGTTCGGTACTTTACTTTCTCATCTTTTATTTCCTCGTTTTTACTTTAAAAAATCCTTTCAAAGTCCGTATGTGTTATCTAGATTTCTAAACTCTTAAACTACATTCTAAAATACATTTTGGGTGCCTGAACTTATTTTAGATGTTATATACGTCTAGGCTAGGTCCAATGTATTCTATGAGTTGACATGACATGCCACGTGTTGGTTTAGCCCGCGTATCAATCATATAAAAGAATAAATTAAAACAGAGAGGAAAATGTTTTTAATTTTTGAAAAAAAAAGAAAGAGAGGAGAAAATGATGTTTTTAATTTTTCCTTATGTTCCTGATATGTTAGTTTTACTGACACGTCGGCGTTATCATGACATGCCACGTCAGCGCAAAGGAGCGACAACAGTGTTTGAATATTCAAAAGTATCTTTTTTTTTTTAGAGTTCAAGGACCTACCCCCTCCATCCCCTGTAAACCTAATCCTAACAACGAATATGGACATGCATGTGTTCAGATTTGCTACTAGGATTAGATTCTATTTGGGACGGAGTAATATATGATATGCCCATACAATTTTTAAAATTGTCCGTGCACTTCATTCAATCCATATATTAATCATTTTTGTTAATTTTTTTAGCTAATAATTAATTATCTCTTTTTTTCACGCGCTAATAAGTTATTGGCTGTTCAACCAGTAAATAAAATAGAAATACTTATATCGCCTCTGTTTAAATATTGAAAATAAGCTATAATATGGTGTGGTGGTATTATAGTTATTCAGAACGAAGGAATACTATAAGGTGTATTGGGGAGAGAAGGTTGAGAACATCTCTTTCACACACGGAAAACGGGGTGACTAACCAGTGCATGATCAAAAATAAGTACATTTTTTCCCATTAATCCTTTTTCCCATTGATCATCATATTATAGGAAAGCATCAAGATTAAGAAAAATCAATAACTCTTCCGTACTTGGTAATAAACTTAATGCGTGCACCATTCCCACTATTTCTTAGTCAATAACAAACGAAGACATTACATGTTCGTTGTAAATGTTGTGTGCGTGGATGTATGCATGCTATCTCATGCATAAATAACAAATAGTCCTAGTGAATTGAATATTAATATGATGGTCATTTAAAAATAGCCTAACAAAACCATATAATAATCTATTATGAACTGAGGGAGTATTAGCTATAAAAAATTAGATCAACATTATCTTTTAAAACAATTTTCTTATAGAATTTTTTCTAAGAAAAACATGTTTTTTTGCAGTTCGGGAAGCTTGCGGCTGAAAAATGAGGGAGTAAAACTTAAGAACACGCTATGATGGGAAGTTATATGTATAAAAGAAACGAAAATGATAGAGTTGCATTGAATCTGTTTATTTTATATTTGAGGATGGTAGGAGTATTTTGGACATATTGGTTGGTGGGATGTGATGGGTTAGATTGGAACAAATCTATTTTTTAAGGTGTTTGTTTTGGGACAGATGAGATGAAATGACCCTAAAAAGAAATATACCCTCTAGATCTAGGTTAGCTTTATCCCTTAAAAATTGGCATATTGTCGATGGGATACCTGTGAACTGTATTCTAAGGGTATTGGGGTACGTTGATACGAATATCTATATGATACGACATTAAGCACACAGAAGACAAAGATTATACTGGTTCAGACCCGTCGTAAGGTAATAGCCATAATCCAGTTTATATGAGATTATGAAGAAAACCGCAGAGTACAATAGAGAACAACAATTTCCGACAAAATCCCTGCCGAGAACTCCTCGATGAGATGTCTCAGTAAATCGGCTTCAAGTCCTCCGGATTGCTTCTGCTATGGTGGGTGTCTTACGATACGATTTGATGATCTGTATCCCCAAGGGGACCTGTATTTATACAGCAAATTACCTTAGTCTCCAAGTAAGGCTTGAGAACAACGGACCACATACGGTAAAACAACTTCATTATCTCCTCCGAGTAGGACTCTAGCACGTTCTATTCATAGAGATTATTTCCTTAAGAACTCATCGATTTCCTTTAACTCAGAAGGATTATTTCCGTACACTTAGGATATACCGTATTCTTATATCTCATGACTCCAAAAATAAAGGGTATGCTTTATCCTAACCCTGACATATACCAATCCAACTAAAATTTTATCTTTAATTGACACGTGGACCATATATTCCAACCCTATTTTTTTTTACCATTTCAACCCTTGTCCCAAACACGTAGACAGAGCTATCCCATTAAAAACTAAAGTATAATGAACCTGATCTATACTAGTTGATCGCAAACCAAACACACAGAATGTGTTAGTTCTGTTTCTCTTCAAATTTCTTTTTGCAAAAACCACCACATAAAACTCACACTGATTTTTCATTACAACTAAAAATAGAATGGGTATTTATAATAAAATAATTTGTGAGATAGAACGTCAAACTTCAAAGGGCCCCTTTAATCTGAAGGATACACGTAAGTACTTTGGAGGATTTCAAGGAGAAAAATCCTATGAATATCTTTAAAACAAAGGATTGAAATTTACCTTATCCTATGAAAATCCTATGAAATGAACAATTCTATAGAGATTTTAAAGAAAATTTAGCAGGAGATTCAACCTCTGGAAAAAATTCTTTTGAGGCTATCTTTCTCATATGATTCCTATGTTTTTTTCCTGTTGTCCAATCAAACGGTAATTACATTATTTTTTCTGTTTTACAATACTCTATTTGTTACCTATATCTATTATATTATTAAAAACAGCTTTGAAAGGAGGCACCACATTCGCTGTGGGGGCTAGAAGTTCCCACATTAATCGGAGAAAAAGAGAAAAATCTATACCATTAGATTGTAATGGATTAAATTAAAGGGTGTAGATTTATCAGAAAAAAATCTCAAAATAGGAAAGTAATCTAATCTTTCACATACATTACGAATATGCATGCATGCATGTCTGAGTCTTGATTGTATTTGGGCTAGGGTGTTTTCCGATTGGGGAAAGAAAAAAAATTGAATACTACATGGATTCCAAATAGGAAAAAGAAAATCAAATGGACAGCTTTTTGATACAGACGTGGATTCAGATTTTGAAGTGAAAAAGGAATTGAACTATCACTGGATCTGGCCACAGCTAACTCAATTTAATTGATGCATTCAAACTTGCAGCCAAATAAAATTCAGAAGCTAGCATACCGTAATACTAGCCGGAGATGAAAAAAAAACAGCACACCCAGACTACCAATACAATTATTCAACAATCTATTTAGTCCTTACTCCCTCCGTCCTATTTTAAACGCAGCCATGGGTTTCCATGTTCAACTTTGATCGTCTGTCTTATTTTATTTTTTTAAAAAAATAAGCGCATAAAATACTATTCATATTTTATCATCTCTTTAAAAGGAGACATCATGTTCGCTTTAGGGGCTAGAAATTCCCACGTTAATCAGATAAAAAGAAAATTTGAAATAAAAATAAGCATTATTAAAAGAAAAGTCCATATAAGAACTCAATATGAGATTATTTAATATTCAGAATATAAATAAAATAAAATCCAAAATTAGCAAAAAAAAAAGAGTCCAAGTAGATATACAATTAAAAATAACTGAAATACGGAATCAGAATAAAGCAATATTGAAAGAAGAGTCCATATAAAAACCCAATACTAGATTTATTAAAAGTTTAAATGAAAAATAAAATGAAACTCGAAATTACAAAAAAAAAAGAAAACAGTTCAATTAGGAATATAATTTGAAATTAACTGAAATTCTGAATTAAAAATAAGAAATATTGAAAGAAGAGTCTATATAAGAATCCAATACGAGATTAATTAAAATTCAATATAAAAAATAAAATCTAAAATTAGACAAATTAAAAAGGGAGTTCATGTAGGAATAAAATTTTAAAACAACTGAAATTGAAAATAAAAAAATAAAAAAATTAAAAGAACACAATACGATATTAATTAAAATTTGATATAAAAAATAAAATAAATAAAAATTAGGAAAAAAAATAAAATAAGATTTCAAATAGGAATAAAATTTATAAATAACAAAAATTGGTGATAAAAAATAAATACTATTGAAATAAAAGACCATCTAAAACATATTAAGAGATAAATTAAGCAACAGATCTATAAAGGAGTAGAATTGAGGTGGTTGATGGGACATTTAAAAACTTTTTATAAAACACCAAATAGAATCCTAATAACGATTAAAAGGAGGGACAACGGGTAGGCCATGAAGAAACCGATCAAGGCGTTTGGCGGGACTTCTAGAAAGTAAAAAATAAAACTCCAATGATAATCATATTCGATTTTTGAAATCTCAATGATAATAAAAAGGAGAGATAGTGGGCGGGTCGTACAGGAGGACAGTGGCAGTGGCAGAGCCGCCAATGGTTGGCGGGACTTTTAGAAAGTAAAAAATGAATTTCAATGATATATGTTCGATTTTTAGAATCTCAATGACAATAAAGAAGAGTAGACGGTGAACGGTTCGTAGAGAAGTATAGTAGCAACGTTTGACGGGACTTCTAAAAATTATAAAAAATGAAACCCAACGAGAAAAAAAAACTCTAAAAACCACAGGTCCAATGTTTAAAGTTTTGGGACTTCTAAAAGTAAAAAAAAAAACCCAAATAATAATTATGTTCAATTTTAAAATCTTAATGACTATAAAGAAGGGAGGCATCGGGCAAGCCATAGAGGAGTACAGTAGCAGAGTCGCTGAAGGTTTGGTGGGACTTATAGAAAGTAAAAAAAATGAACTCAAGCAATAATTATGTTCGATTTTTAAAATCTCAATGACAATAAAGAGAAAGGCAGTGCGACGGGCCGTGGAGGAGTATAATGGCAGCGTTTAACGAGACTTCTAGAAATTATAAAAATAAAATCCAACGAAACAATAAACTCTAAAACCTATACGATCCAATTTTTAAAGGTTCCAAGAAGAATGAATAGATAGTGGTAGATCAGGCAAGCAAATAAAAAATGTAATGATAGAAGTAGGGGTAACAATTGTGTGACTTTTAAAAACTATAAAATTAGAAACACGGGGATGATAAGGTTTGGTCGTTCAAAATCTTAATAACAACCAGATAGCTATTTAATAAATTTAAAGTAAAATCATATTAAAAATATATAATTTTGTATGGTGCTAGCCGCGCAATTGCGCGGGCCACCCAGCAAGTTTCTATTAAAATATTGTTTTTTTCTATTCCCTCATTTTTTTCATCCGACAATTGAAAAGGGCTATAATTTCTTTTTTTTTAAAAAAAAGTACTGGTTTGGGCAAGTCTCCGCTCGACTCTCGAGCATCAGCACGTGGCGCGCACGTGGCCAGCCAAATCCCGTACGGCTGCCACGCGTCCCGCATGCGAGGCGCTTCTCCGTCGACCGACCGCGACGCCGGCCACTGCCAAACCTCCAATCTTCCCCCCCCCCCCCCCCCCCCCCCCTCTCGTCCCCGTCGCCGTCAGCCGCCCGCCGCACTCGTTTCCAGCGATCACCGCGCGAGACGCGCCGTGAAGAATCTCCCGGGGGATCCATGACGGCGACGTTGAATCAGTCACACTGATTCCATCCCAATCAGAGGAGGCGCTCGCTGGTCGGTCTATGCTGCTGTCGATCGAATTAAGCCCCAACTTCGTCGTCTTCCCTTCTTCAATTCATCATCACTTCGGCTTGTGAAATTAGATCCATGGATCCGGAGACGGCGGCGTTCGTCGGGCGAGATATCGATGCCGCCACCAATGGTGGTGAGGTAGCTGAGGAGAGGAGGAGGAAGGTTGAGCTGGTGCAGGAAGCCATCCGTGAGCTCCTGGAGGAGAAGAGGACGGGGGAGCGGCGGCGGCGGCAGGGTGGAGATGGTGGTGGCGAGGAGGCTCGGCGAGATCACGAGGAGGAAGAAGACGATCTCCTTTCCTCGTTGCTCTCCAAGGTATGCACGCATTTCCCATTCTGCACGTACTCTGATTGATGCACAGAAAACTCATCGATCGAATGCATTTCTTATAGTATGTACGCAATCCAATGATGTTTATGGTTATGGATACACTAGTTTTAGGGCGTTAGTTACAGAATTGCAGACATACGCAACAATTGTTCATGCAATCATGCTGAAATAACTTACATTCAGAAGTTGTAGAATAGACAGAGACAGGCAACTGAATGTCAGGATGGTGTTTCCTTAGCTCCTTCCTTTGCATCTTGAAATTGGAATTGAACATACGTAGCTCTGCAATTACCTGCTGTAACCTACATTTGTTTTCATCCTTTCTTGATGAGAAATTTGATAATGCTGAAGCCTGAAATCGAGCCTGAATGAACATTAAGTTTCTTGCCACAGGTGGATGCGCTGCAAAATGATGCCGCTTTGGAACAAGTGAAACCGAATTGCTCCCATCCTAATCCTGAAATCAGCAAGGAGGTCAAGCTAGGCGACGTAGCGAAAGACCTGAACAAAATCAAGAGGCAGAACATGATCACCCACATCCTACTCGGCACGGTCATTGTCATGACTGCCGTCTGGCAATTCAACGAGGTGTCGTTCCTCCTCGCCGTGAAGAGAAAGCTTAGCAATCCTTTCAAGTCCTTGGGGGACTTGATCAAGAGTTCGCTGAAGGGGGGAGGGAAGCCGATGATCGAGGCGCCACCGCTGCCTCCAGTCGGCGTCCCGGATGTTACCCGGAATGATTTGCCATTGCTACTCATCAGCAACGGCAATGGCAACAATGATGACTGAGAATTAGTGAGATAGTTATGCCCACAAAGGTATGAAAGGGCAACTCCTCAATGGAAAATTGGAAATGCTGTTTGTTGGTTTCTTTATTTGTTGCAGACTTTTATGTTGATCTTGGTATCAAGTGGAAATGTGCACCTTTTTAAGGATTGAAAGCAAGTGCACGTTTCTTCACTTGTTGTAAAGATATTTGAATTTTTTGTTATTAAGCAGTTAGTTTGTCAACTTTAAATAGCTTAATCATCTCAGGCTCTCAGCCACAATTGGTTGTCCTGTCCGGGACTGACGTTCCGTGAGTTTGCTGTTTTCAAGTAAGATGCAATGACAACTGAAAACTTGCTCGGTCCTCTGAACTGTTCTTCTTTTGCTCAACGGCCATAAAACAGAGAACTCCAAGCTCCGTCCCAATATGTAGAAATAGCTAAATTTTGAGGCTGGGTTAGTAGTCGTAATTTCGTGAAGAAAGTATACATGCAGAAATTGCAGATACTATACGCGGTGTTCAGTTAACCCGCAGTGTGGCTACTGACAAGCAAGTCAATGGGATTATGCGAACCTTCCGATTCCCGCAGGCCCAAGAAATCTACTGGGATTCAGGAAGGAGCATACAGTCGATGCGTGGTAATACACCGATTAAACATCGAAAATGCTTGAAGTCGGACAACCGGTGCGGGGGAGCCGGATCGGGCGCTCCCCCCGCGCGCCCCTCCCACCACGTGCGTACCTGTTGAGCCCACCCACTTCTCTCTCATTTTTAGAAAGATGTTTCACCTAGTGTACTTACAATGTTTCACTATTTATTTATAGATATATTGTTGCAGTTAATTAAAATACTCTATTCCAAAAAAAAACCCACATATTTTGGAAACTTTCTATTAAGGGAATTTGGTTTATTTTTTGTCCCAAAAAAATATTTCACCTAGTGTACTCCCAATGTTTCACTATGTATAGATCTAATGTTGCAGTGAACGAAACATTCCATTGCAATAAAAAAACCCACATATTTTGGAAACCCCATATTAAGGGAATTTGGTTTATTTTTTTTCCACAAAAAATGTTTCACCTACTGTACTTCCAATGTTTCACTATATATAGATCTAATGTTGCAGTGAACGAAACATTCCATTGCAATAAAAAACCCACATATTTTGGAAACCCCATATTAAGGGAATTTGGTTTATTTTTTGTTCCACCGAAAAATGTTTCACCTAATGTACTCACAATGCTTCACTATGTATAGATCTAATGTTGCAGTGAACGAAACATTCCATTGCAATAAAAAAACCCACATATTTTGGAAACCCCATATTAAGGGAATTTGGTTTATTTTTTTTCCACAAAAAATGTTTCACCTACTGTACTTCCAATGTTTCACTATATATAGATCTAATGTTGCAGTGAACGAAACATTCCATTGCAATAAAAAACCCACATATTTTGGAAACCCCATATTAAGGGAATTTGTTTTTTTTTTCCACCGAAAAATGTTTCACCTAATGGGCCACTTATCTCTCCTTTTTTTAGAAAGATGTTTCACCTAGTGTACTTACAATATTTCACTATTTATTTATAGATTTATTGTTGCAGTTAATTAAAATACTCTATTCCAACAAAAAACCCACATATTTTGGAAACTTTCTATTAAGGGAATTTGGTTTATTTTTTGTTCCACAGAAAATGTTTCACCTACTGTACTCCCAATGTTTAACTATATATAGATCTAATGTTGCAGTGAACGAAACATTCCATTGCAATAAAAAACCCACATATTTTGGAAACCCCATATTAAGGGAATTTGGTTTATTTTTTGTTCCACCGAAAAATGTTTCACCTAATGTACTCACAATGCTTCACTATGTATAGATCTAATGTTGCAGTGAACGAAACATTCCATTGCAATAAAAAAACCCACATATTTTGGAAACCCCGTATTAAGGGAATTTGATTTATTTTTTGTTCCACCGAAAAATGTTTCACCTAATGTACTCACAATGTTTTACTATGTATAGATCTAATGTTGCAGTGAACTGAAACATTCTTTCGCTATTTGCTAAATCATTGTTTTTATATAAGGTGAAACAACACCCGATTTAAACGAGTGAAACATTTTCGATATACCTAGTGAAACAATTCCGATATATCTGGTGGAACATCGTGCAACATTTAAAAATAATTCAATAATAAGCTAGCAAAATTTTTGTCTGAATATATCCGTGTGTGGTCTTGTTTTGAAGATTTAATTGCAACGAATTTAATGGTGTAATCGGATCATGATTTGGATAAGTAATTTAAGAGAAAATTCAGTTTAAAATAGTTTTGCACGTAAATCAGATGCTGACGTCAGCGTCCGATTTTTCTCCAAATCGATCGGACGCCCGAGCCGTAGAGTCATCCATTAAACATCTCAATTGGATTGGGTTAATTGGATCGGGTTTTTCGGGTTGCCTGGAATTCGGTTTTCGTAAAATATTAACCAAAGAAAGTTTTAAAAAAATATCAACCGAGTAAAATAAAGCGAAGAAGATCGGTTTGGTTTTATGAGGGTTCAGTTTTTACTGAGAAAGATCTATGCCGCACGGTCGACTTTTCGCGAGTATGCACGGCCTTTGCTTGATTTGGAGAGAGGGAACATGATTTAGTGGAGTCATGTATTTTTTGCAGGAAAAAGTATATCGAAGGTCCCTCATCTTGTCATCGGATTACAAAATCGTTCCCCAACTACAAAACCAGATATATATCATCTCTCAATTTACAAAATCGGGTCACTTTGTATCCTCAGGCGGTTTTAATCCCGGTTTTATCCGACGTGACAGCTGAGTCCGTGTGGGACCCGTGTTGGTCCCACATGTCAGGGTGACACGTCATCACCCTCTCTCCCCCCTCTTCCCTCCCTTCCTCGGTTCCTCCTCTCTCTCTCTCTCTCAATCTTCTCTGGTAGGCCAGCCGGCTAACGGGTGGGGACGAGGCTAATGGGGCAAGGAGGGAAAGAAGGAGGGCGGCGGCGCAGGAGAACGGAGAGCATCGCCGCGCGTGCGACCTCAGGGTTGGACCGTCGGAGAGGCCTGGGAGGCGGGAGAAGGAGGAGGGTGTCGGCACCCGTGGCGGCGGCGGCGATGCGGGAGAAGGGGAGGGCGTCGCCGCACGGGCGAGTTCGAGGATGGAGATCCTGGCAGCGGCGAGGTGAGCGACCTCCACGGCATCGCGCCTGCCGTTGAGGACCCCCGCCTCCCTGTCGACGACCCACGCAAGCACGCACTTGTCTTTGGCGACCCAGGCCTCGACAAACCTAGACATGGCGGGCTCACCGCCCACGACCTCCGCGCCATTGCCGACAGGGCCTCGGGCCTTGATGCTACTGGACACGGCGCGTCGGCAACCTCCCTGTCCTCGAGCTCCACCACCCAACGGCCACCAAGGACGCCCGCACACGACCGCTGCACGCCCCCTCATCGTCGTTCACGCCTCGCTGCCACCTCCCTAGGCCTATCCTTGGCCGTCGCGGAGCTTCGCCAGGCTGCCGCCTCCCCGGGCCCATCCTTGGCCGTTGCAGAGCTCTGCCAGGCTGCCGCCGTGCTTTCGCGATGCTGTGGAGGTCACTTACCTTGCCGCCGCTGGGGTCTCCGTCCTCGAGCTCGCCCACGCGACGACGCCCTCCCCTTCTCTCGCATCGCCACCGTCGTGGACATCAACGCCCTCCTCCTTCTCCTGCCTCCCAAGCCTCTCTGACCCCAAGCTCACATGCGCGGTGATGCCCTCCCTTCTCCCGTGTCGTCGTCACCGCCGCCGCCCTCCAGCTCTCCCGCCTCACCCCGCGGCCGGCCTACCAGAGAAGAGTGAGAGAGAGGAGGAAGGGAGAGAAGAGGTGGGAAGAGAGGGGATGATGTGTCACTTTGACATGTAGGGCCCATGCTGACTTAGCTGTCACGTCAGAAAAAATTGGGGTCAAAACCACATAACGATCCAAAGTGACCCTGTTTTATAAATTGAGGGATGAGATATATCTGGTTTTGTGCTTTGGGATGATTTTGTAATACTAATGGCACCGCGCTGATGGACGCCCGCAGCGCCGCCAAGGCCGTCTTGTAATGGTGTCTCACCTCATCCAGCGACAGAGGTCATGACCATGGATGGAAAGAGTAGTTGGCAAAAACAAATATTCCTGGGCTTGTCAGCCCAAGAAAATTCAGCCCAATTAAGGCTTGTTTGGAACAAGGAGCCTTGAGGATTTTCGCAAGAGACACGAATTTCAACTGACTTCTGTATGATTCATGTGTAAGACACCGAGGCTGGTAAAATGGGAGCACAATCTATGATCAATCAAACAAGAGTTGAATCCTGCAGACTCGCAGATGTTCTGAACAACTCTTTGCATCGCACTAGCTACCGTACGACATTTCTACTTTCTCACTTGCATCAAGTACTCTGAACCTGAACAACAACAGCCCCTGCATCAGCCACTGCATTCCTTTCAGCCCTGATGATCCTGGTGATTCCCATTAGATCTCTCTTTCAGCCTGCTTCACTGCAGTCATGGTTCCACTGCAATTGCAGTTAGTAGTGGCCATTTCTAAGAATGATTTTTTTTGTGTAAGGTCTCGGAATTCGGTCGTAACAAGATGGAGGAACATTCATGCAATCTACTGTGAAAACAAAGCCCTGGAGAAGTATGAATATGATACATTTTCTTAAACTGGACTGTGATGACACCAAACTAAACGAACTCCAGTCTGACAGATTTAGTATTAAGTAAACTTTGCATTGCTCAGCTCAAGTAAACTTGCATTGCATGGCTCCTAGTCCCAGCAGCTCAGATGCTACTCCTGCTTCAAGTTGCTAAACCATTAAATTGCATCAGCTAGTGCAAGATCAGCTTCTGGGTGTTTCAGCATTCAGATCCTGAGAAAGAAGCTCTCAACTGCTGCCTATCCAACTCACATTGCATTCTGCTCTCTGCATATCTGGAACGGCCTGCGCACTAATATCTTCCAACTCATTTAGGACGATCCACATGCAGACTACTTGCAGTTGCGTACTACTCCAAAGAAATGTAAGTTGGAACCTGGAACACCAAATTGCAGTTGATCTTTCTTCAGATCGAAGGGTCTATGAGAACAAAACATTCAGCTGCTCAACACAAAGACCTAATGCAATTGCCAAGATATACTCCAGAATGGATCACTCCACAGCTCTGCCGCTCAGTGCTCATCAGTTCCAGGTTTCCAGCCACAAGTGCTCTTTCTTGAGCAACTTGCTAACACCATTGCAGCTTAGCAGTTAGTAGCTTATCAGCATGTTTCTGATCAAACATAATGAGACATGCATCTTCTACTCTCCTTGAAGTGACAGTGCTTTGTTGTGATATCATGATATGGCCAATGCTAATGACCTTTGTTAACCACCACTGCAATAACAACAACTAGAGAAGCAGTACTAGCAACAGTGTCAGTGTTTTAGCTGCAATAGCTATACAATTTTTTCAGCTGGCACAGTACAGAAACGCTAAAAGTAGTGTGTGTGTGTGTGGTCAGTGATGATGATGTGGAAGAGGAGTGTGTGTACTTAAAAGAGGTGTGAGACATGAAGGATGGGTCCCACAGTGTGCAGAAAGTTGCTCAAACGCATACACGTACACAGGCACAGGGGCAGGCATCCAGCAACAGCAACAATAAAAAAGAATTTTAATAGTATACTAAGGGTTAAGAGAGACATTTCCTGTACTATGATGTGAAAACCTAAATTTGCCCCTGGGGTTCGGTTAAGCCAACCACAGCAGCGGGTTACCCACTGAGACGAGGTTTACTGAAATACCCCCGGAATAAAGTGCCAGATATACGTATAAAATAATTGTTCATACACGTATAGACAGGGTGGTTTTTTAGTGGGCCCACAAGGGGTATTTCTGACCTTCTCGCATGTGGGTGACCTATGTTAACATCAAAATTCCAGCCATGATTAGGACAGGGAAAAGCTGAAGTTGAGTTTAAATCGGTACCCAGGTTATTAATTTGCTTCAGTAATGGTGCTCTTTATTAGGGCATGAAAATGACAGAAAAGCCCCTGTGTTTGTGCTAACTATGGTTAAGTTTGGGCAGACATGAAAATTAATTTTTGGCATCAAATGAGGGGGGCATCGAAACAGGTTGGAATTTTTTTTAATACACAACACATGGTCTAGTTTTTTTTTCCTACCACTAGTAGCCCAAATTTTCTTTTTGAGTTTGACTACAAGTTTGAGGGAAAAAAGTTCCTGTTTTTTAAGCCTTCAAATAAAATTTAGGGAAAAATACAATGTTATGGAGACGAAGGAGGAGAAAAGATATACCGGTGATTAGAGGGTACGGTTGCGCATGTAAAAACGGACAGAAGGAATGATGGTGGCTCACGGAGAAAGAATGGTGATGGCAGTGTGTAGAGCGACAACCGGTTGTTGCTGATAGTCTGAGGAGTATGTTGATGGCGTAATTCTCAACCGAATTAATTATGGCCTCGTTCTTTTCTCCAATAAAAAGTTGGATAAACTTTTGGATACTCGTGGCATGCTTTTCAAACTGATAAACGGTGTGTTTCGTGCGAAAACTTTCTATACGAAAGTCATTCTAAAATATAAGATCAATCCAATTTTCTAGTTTGTAAATAATTAAAACTTAATTAATCACACGTTATTACCACCTCGTTTTACGTGAAACACTTATCCTCGTCTTCAGGAGATTCAAACACCACCTGTATGTTTTTCTCTGTATACATAATACATATGTATATTATGTGAGCCACACCAGTCATCGTTATGAAGTACTAATAGCTACTGTAGTTTCAATGTAAAAAAAAGAAAAATGGGATAAAGGTGCAGTAGCCGAGTATCTTCCCCGTTCCCCCTGCGTAAAAGAAAATCTCCCGTCTCGTCGTCTCCTCCGCTCCCTGCGGCAAGACGAGCCGCGGCTGAACAGGGGAGGGGCGCCGATCTCCATCCAGCGAGCAGAGCAGCGGAGGGGATCCTGGTGAGCATCACAATCCTCTCTCTAATTCATCCCTCTCCCCCACCGGGAGTAGTTTTTGGTCTGAAATTTTTTGCTTGCGGTCGTTAACCCTAGCTTCTCTTTCTAGTCTAGATCTGTGGTGGGAGAAGCTCTTCTCTTAATTTCAGAGTATACAAGTAACAGTTTGTTGTTTGTTCCCCCCAAAAAAGTTTGGGGGGGTTCAACTGAACCCACCCTCCATGTCCCAAGTTGGATCCGCCCCTGCAATCTTTGCTCCTGCTCAGGACCAACTGGTTGCTGATCGATTGCGGAAGTGAGGATGGACGTGGAGCTGAATTCCCGTGCGCTGATGGATGAAGCTCTCAAAGCAAGGGATGCGGCTGAGAGGAAGTTCCACGCGCGTGATGTCAAGGGTGCACGGAGGTCCGCAATCAAGGCGCAGAACCTGTGCCCGTCGCTTGACGGCATTTCCCAGATGGTCTCGACGCTTGAGGTTCTGCTTGCTTCCGAATCGAAGGTTGACGGCGAGAACGATTGGTACCGGATCCTGTCTCTCAGTGCCTCTGCTGATGAGGAGGAGGTGAAGAAACAGTACAGAAAGCTAGCACTCCAGCTGCACCCTGACAAGAACAAGTCGGTTGGTGCCGAGGGGGCCTTTAAGCTTATCTCGGAGGCTTGGGCCGTGTTGTCTGATAAGAGCAGGAAGATGCAATATGATCAGAAGAGAAAGGATCATCCTGTCACTAATGGGGCCAATGGTTTGTATACTTATGATAAGAAAGCTCACAAGCGGGCTAGAAAGAATGCTGCGGCTTCTGCGGCCGCAGCAGCTGCAGCTGCTGCTGCAGCAGCAGAGGCTACTACACGTCCTGTGGGACTTGATACATTTTGGACATCATGCAATCGCTGTCGGATGCAGTATGAGTACTTGAGAATTTACCTGAATCACAACCTTCTGTGCCCAAACTGTCACCATGCATTTATGGCTGTGGAGACTGGATATCCTTGCAATGGAACCAGTTCCTCGTTCTCCTGGTCAACCAAGCAGCAGCAGCAGAACCACAAGCACTCATATAGCTCAGCAAGCAGAACCTCTGGTGTTCCAGGAACGGGACATGGTGTATACCAACAAGAGAACACTTACGAGACCTACAACAACCAAAGCTTCCAATGGAATCAGTACTCCAAGACAAATAATTCTGCTGGTACAAATGCTTACAGTAGTACTGCCTCAGAGAAACCAAAAAGAAAACATGAGGAGAGCTATATATACAATTATTCGTCAAGTGGCAATGAGTTTGGGCAGGAGAGACCTACATCAGGACGGGGGCGATTTTCAAAAAGGAGGCAGAATATTAATAATGGATATGCTTCTGTTGATTGTAATGGAGATAACAAGGAAACTGTGGCTGCAACTGCAGGAACAACTGTGCTTGCTGATGTTGGAAGGGTTAATGGTACTTCCGTGGAGAAATTCAGATCAGCAGTAAGTGGAAGAAGAGCTAATGTCATGAGGGAGATATTCCAACTTGACACCCGAGGTCTTCTCATTGAGAAAGCCAAGGCAGCAATCCGTGAAAAATTACAAGATTTGAATATTTCAGCAACAAGACATATTGCAGCCAAAGGGAAAGCAGAAAGAAAAAATCACGTGGACCACGATGTAAAGGGGAACGGCATCCTCCCTCATAATCCAAGCCATAAATTCAAGATATGTAACTCAAAAGGTGCTGATGTTGAAAATCCAGCAACTGATGAGAATAATCTGGAACAGAAGCGTGTGCCTGTGTCAATTGATGTCCCAGACCCAGACTTTTATGATTTTGATAAAGATCGCACAGAAAGAACTTTTGATAATGATCAGGTGTGGGCTACATATGACAGCGAAGATGGCATGCCTCGTCTATATGCGATGGTGCAGAAAGTTATTTCAAGGAAGCCTTTCAGGATCCGGATGAGTTTTCTTAATTCCAAGTCCAATATTGAACTGTCACCAATTAACTGGGTTGCCTCGGGTTTCTCAAAGACGTGTGGTGATTTCAGGGTTGGAAGATACCAGATTTTTGAAACAGTTAACATCTTCTCCCATAGAGTTAGCTGGAGCAAAGGCCCCCGGGGAATTATCAAGATTGTTCCCAAGAAAGGTGATACTTGGGCTTTGTACCGAAACTGGTCTTCTGATTGGAATGAGCTTACACCTGATGATGTGATATACAAGTATGAGATAGTAGAAGTGATTGATGATTTCACTGATGAGCAAGGTGTGACTGTCATTCCATTGCTGAAAGTTGCCGGTTTCAAAGCGGTCTTCCATAGGCGCACAGACTCTGATGTGGTTAGAAGGATACCGAAGGAAGAGCTTTTCCGCTTCTCACATAGGGTTCCTTCTCGACTGCTCACTGGGGAAGAAGGCAATAATGCTCCAAAAGGTTGCCATGAATTAGACCCTGCTGCTACTCCAGTTGACCTTCTTAAGGTTATCACTGAGGTCAAGGAAGTTGCCACGACAGAAATTTCTGAATAGTACCCATCAACCTGGATCCCTAAAAATGCCATGCCAAAAATGCACTAACTGGGTGATGATCCGCGTTATTTGGCTCTTAGCTCTATCATGTGATCTAACTTCTAGCTGATGACTTGGACTATGTTACCAGGGTAAACAGCTAATGTTGAAAACTCCTGACCATTAATTTTTTAAGGCTTTTCTATGTTTAATTTTATTTTAATACGGTATCGCATAGAGGAAAATATAACCAGGGTGCCACTTATGATGATGAGGCCAGTTGCCAAAGGCATGGCAATCCTCATTGCTTGCTAAGAGGTGTCACTCTTCCTTACTTTGTAAGGTACGGTAGTTCTGCATACGAGCTTACTAGACAGCTGCTGGGCTTCTCACTGTATCCAGTCTGTAATCTGTACTCATTTACTTAATATGTTGTATTTCCTTAATCCATAGTATTCTTAGCTATACCTTTTCAAATTCAGTGATTGTTGAACACTGGGGAGTGATTCTGAATGTTAATCCCATATGTAGTTGTGGACTGTGGTACTGGTACCCTAATTATTTGCTCCATGTCTCAATACATTCGTCTGCACATGTCTCAATACCCTAATTATTTTCGAATGTCGATTGTGAACTGAAAGGATGATCTGGGATCTGTGTCTAATTTTTTAGTTATACTTTCTGTTGCCGTTAGCAGAAACATACATTTTATTCATTTGTAAGCATTGCTTACTCTTTTTTTTTCACAAAAAAAAAAATCCAGGTATGCATGTATTGCTATCAGAAAGTACTGGTGATGCTGTAGAGAGCCACAGACTAGCTGGCATTTTGTCCATTTCTAAGCGATTATTACTTTTCTGCCCATTTATTTTCACAAAATCGGGGTTCGTAAATATATGTATTCTTACCTGGAGGGAGCGCTACGGACTGGAGTAATTCTTTTTGTATATACTCCGTATATCTTTCCAGAAATGCTCCGATTGTTAACACTCGGTGCAATGTCGGTTTTCGCGCTAGCACAGCACGCTCGTATATTATTTACTGTGTAGTGTCATTCCAGATGAATTTGTTTGGATGTATAATTTGCGTTATCTTATTTTCAGAATTAAGATTCCGAAGGATCCAAGTGATTTGTTATCAGATTCTACCATTAAGACGATCAGGCTAAAAAGATGATCGGTCCACATGATATTTCCTCGCAAGCTATAAGATGATCAGGCTAATGAGATGGATTCAGGCATTCAGGCTTCAGCGGAACACAAACGAGTGTCATTCTGCATGCTTGACAGGATCCTAATTGCATTTTACGACGGTTTTTGGTCATAATGTTGGGAACCAGCGTTATTGTCCGAGGATCATGCAATGAGATAACTAAAATATTAGAATATGCTGCTGTAGTGACCCAACAGTGGGATCATGGGCGATCGATTGATGGGGTAATAATGCGGTAGTGGTTCACAAAGAATGAGGACACCCCAAGATATAAATCTTATCCATATCCCTGACGGTCCAATAATCACCACATACATCAATAGTGCAGCAGACCACAATATGTAGAATCTACTAAAATCGAACATAGTTTTTTTGGGTACAAATATCTGGTGATAATCCTCCATTCCAGAAAACATCTCTTTCCATGTAGCAACTACGATATTGTAAGGCAGTATTTCTTTAGAGATTGATCACAGAGGAAATCAAAGTTGCGATAGTGGCAGGCATTGAACTGCATGCTGTCTCACCTTCTCATGCACCATCAGTGAGGGTACGCTTTGATGTGCTGATGTATAAAACTGCATTCACAAGGCATGTATAAGAAAGTGCACTGTGTATCAGAATATTTGTCGTATAAGATTTTGCATTGTACGCATACCATTGTTTCCTCGTATGAAAGCGTCACCGTACTTGTTCTTCAGCTGACCATTGACATATTCTTCCGTTTGCTCCATTGCAATGTTCATGTAACCATCAAGACAAGCCAAAATACCTGGTTCATACCAATGAAAGACATTTGAAATCAGCTTTTTACGTAAGCATAATGGAATAATCAAATTTCACTGGATTTTGTTGTCAGTTAATATTTTTGAATCGAAAAAAGATACAGGAAAATTCAAAGTCCATGCACATTAAAAACCTAACTAGTGAAAGCTTAAAAAGATTATAACGTTCATAGACAAGCAAAGGAGTATTAAGGTAGGTTTGCAATGTAGACTCTAGTGTTTGCCCATTTCAAAGAAGTAAATGTGCACTTCATAGACACATCATTATAGTGTTGCTAGTTTATATATAAGGTGGTGCTTAATCGCTAAACTTCATGGATGCAAAACCAGAAACTAACTCACTTCATTGACTTTTGATAAATAACTTCATATCTTCCTCTCTACCTGCTGTTCTAGTGACCACTATGATGATGGCTTTAAGCAAATTCCTAGAGCGAACTGTGGTTTAAACAAATTCCTAAGATCGAAGTGTTAGGCCTTGTTTGTGAATCCTGATCCCAGATGGTATCCTGGTAGGATTGGACCACCCAAACAAGGCCTTCAACTCTGAAGCATGTTACTAATAGGTTCAAATCCAGAGAGAAGGGTACTTTTTTTTTATAGATTTACTATTCAAGACCTCAAAACTCTGAAGCATCTCATGAATAGGTTCAAATCCTGCTCTAGCAGACAGCAGCTTTGTTTCAAAGCTGCATTTTCATCTGAACATGAGGGTCATATTTGGCAACTATTCAACAGTCCCAAATAATAATTTTGGCTTGGGTTGGAAATGAGCCCAATAGGGTTGGATTACCTTACACAAAATACCCTACACTTGAAGTTAAATACATATGTACATGCGTTCTTAACAGTGAAGCCAGAACTTGGGGTAAATAATCTAAATTGACATTGCTATTCAGGATCCTGCAACCTTGATGTCAGGAGTATATGTGCAATTGTGCAGTTAATGTTGCTTGTGATCGGTGAAGTATGAATTATGAAATCACCAATCATATCAGCATTGATGATTCTTATATAACCTTGCAATATGTGCTCAGAGTTTCAACTTGCTTGTTTTTTTTACCAAACTGTAGACCTGAGCATATCATATGCTGCATCTCTTCAAGTTCATTGTTTCCGACCCATCATGACTGTATGTGCATGAGTATTTTTGTAGTGTACTAGCGTGGGATGCTTTGTGCTATGAAATGAAAAACTGGTGCTAGAGCTGTGGGAGAAAAGGGTCTTAGGGTGGACATTGATTTAGATTGAAGTTTTAGATCTCCAATATATTCTTTTTCAATACTTTCCTCGCTTGCTCTAGATCATAAACTAATCAAGAATTCTGCCTACTTGTTCTGACTAACATTTAGCTTGAAGATGATGTATAGTAGTATGACAGATCAACCACTGACCTGAATCACGCTCACAGGTTAGGTTCACATTATTTGCAAGCAGATAGAATATGCTTCTATCAGAGACTACACCATCTGGTGTTCAAACTAAATGCTGATAAACATGCGTGCACGAGAAGCCAGGATGGATGAGTTCTACATACATGGGATTAGTCTACAACCAGCCTTTTAACCTTGGCTCAAAAACAGAAAAGAGAAGTAAAAAGGAAAACCACACCAGGCATAGAACTCACTAACTCAGCACCCTTGTTTCACTAAGCACTGGCAGTCTGGCACCTATTTTATAAAAGGTACCTTATTGTTCCATTTCTAGGAGTACATAGTTCCAAACTTCCAGCTGTATATTATCATTCCACAAATGAAATTCCATGGAAATATGGGCCAAAAGCTAACAATTTGTTAAAAGAGATGTAGCAGTGGCACAAAATTGTAAGACCAATGTCACCAATCACATACTAAATGGTTGTGTCAAGATAAGTGGCTGAATAAGTCTACATGTTAACCATCAAACCTGGTAACAGGTACCCGTAAAGTCTTCACTCCTCCCCCTTTCTCTCTAGTTAGCGGAGACATGACAACCAGTCATCCGATTAGGTTTATAGTGGCATTGCAAGCAGTCAGCAAATGAATAAATGAAAGAGGCAATCTTCATGGTCCTCTTCATCTTGTCTCACATGCGAGTTGATTTTAGACCAACACGGTAACTCAGGGGATAAAATAGATTTGTTACAAATTTCCAATAAGTAAGATTCCATGAAATTGGTGATAGTATATAATGATTTTATTGCACAAGCTATGCATTGCAGCTACTGATTCAACACTATTCAGAAAAAAAAAGAACAAGTGTATTTCTGGTAAAACTGTTCCATTCAAAATCTAGTCCACGACTAGTCCATGATTTGGTCGTGTGAAAACAATGGATGCACTATATAGTCTCTAGTACTATTCTATTGTACTAAGCACTATATATAGTATTATAAACTACGGTTTATGGAGTAGCCAGCAAGACAATAAGTTAACAAGAAATAAATTTAAAGTACTAAACACAATAAGCCAATTAGCATGGTGAAATGATGATTTGCTATGACTAATCTACGACTAATTGTGCGACTTGCTATTTGGTCGAGTCGTAGCCCTCTAGTCGTCTGACTTGACTGACGTTATGACTAGTCTACGACTTGATAACAGCGATCCAGATGTCTTAAGTGATGAGGAGAAGAAAGAACTACCAGAAAGTAAACCTTATATGCATAGTTACATACACAGGTACACTTCCGAAGGCCCCAATCAATGGAATACCATATGCTCTTATTAGGCTATTATATGGTTCTGGGTAACAATTAAATATATCATGGGTGTACCGCCAATGTGAAATTGAGAACTGCATACACATAGCCACATTATAAAATATAAATGCACTATGCTCCTGATCATGGAATGCCAACCCCTTATTATCAAACCCAAAGAAGGGAAATCCCTTTCTATCTCAAGCATGCACAATTACCTTTGTTTAGCATAAATCTATCAAATATTGCAATGCAAACCTTAAGCACAGATGTCCTCCCTCTTAAATATTAATCATAATCCTCAGTAAATGGACATACAGCATAAAGTACTTTAAATTACCATAGGTTGAATTGGAAATATTCTTTTTAGTAGCTCACAGAAAAATGGGTACTAAAACTAACTATTAGTAAACATAAAAGCCCCTTAATGATAGGAGGGCTCTACACAAGACAGTCAGTAGCATGATAACCACCTACAATGTTGTTCCTACAAATAAAAATACTGTAGCAATCTCTTACTAAGTTAAAACATACTGAGGTTCTAGGGTTTAACCATAAGTAATTAGAATATCAAAATAGCTCAAGATTAGAGAAGGTCCTACAGAAAAACACGGTTATCTGCTTCTCAAATGGCCTAGCTACACCGGGCACTAGCAGGATCTTAAACAGCACTAAAATAAGTATCTCCCTTGGTCATCAAATCGAAAAGAAAATCCTACAGAGTCCACGCCTTTCCTTCCCCCCACTAATTAACGAAAAGAAACGCAGAGTTCCAATTAAGGAGAAAGAGATACGGGGTACAACAAACATCGCATTCGTCTCGTGCTAGGGTTTTCGGGAGGCGGGTCTAGGGTTGAGGCAAAAAGGGGGAGGGAATTGAGCAGGGGGTTACCGCGGTAGTCGACGCCGGAGTTGAGCTTGACGACGACGGGGCGCCCCCTGATGGACTTGAGGAAGTCGGAGGGCGTCTTCACCGCCCCGCCGCCGCCGCCACCGCCGCCGCCGCCCGAGCCGGACTTCTCGCCGCCACTGCTCATCTTGCGCTGCGTTTGTGCGGGTGCGGGTGCGGGTGCTAGACTGCTAGGTCTCGCGGTTGCATCCGCATCCGACTTTGAGATCGATTTTTTATCGGGTTCTGTACCCTCCACCCGTTATTGGGACTGACCCACCTGTCATCCTCATCCAATCGACTGACACGCGGGCCCAGATCGACCCCGACGTGGCTGTGTGTCATCCTATCCCACCGACATATGGGGCCCACTGTGACGTGGCCCCACACGATCCCATCCGAGCCACACATCGCCTCACGCTGCGTCACCGCGCGCGGACAAAACACCCACACCCCCACACTCTCCACCCCTCTCTCCCTCTCGCCCAAACCCAGAAACCCTCGCCGCCGCCGCCGCCGCCACCACCCACCATGGCTACGACCGCCGCGGCCGCGGCCGCCGCCCTGTCCGCCGCCGCGACGGCCAAGACCGGCCGTAAGAACCACCAGCGACACCACGTCCTTCCCGCTCGAGGCCGGGTGGGGGCGGCGGCGGTCAGGTGCTCGGCGGTGTCCCCGGTCACCCCGCCGTCCCCGGCGCCGCCGGCCACGCCGCTCCGGCCGTGGGGGCCGGCCGAGCCCCGCAAGGGCGCGGACATCCTCGTGGAGGCGCTGGAGCGGTGCGGCGTCAGCGACGTGTTCGCCTACCCGGGCGGCGCGTCCATGGAGATCCACCAGGCGCTGACGCGCTCCCCGGTCATCACCAACCACCTCTTCCGCCACGAGCAGGGCGAGGCGTTCGCGGCGTCCGGGTACGCGCGCGCGTCCGGCCGCGTCGGGGTCTGCGTCGCCACCTCCGGCCCCGGGGCAACCAACCTCGTGTCCGCGCTCGCCGACGCGCTGCTCGACTCCGTCCCGATGGTCGCCATCACGGGCCAGGTCCCCCGCCGCATGATCGGCACCGACGCCTTCCAGGAGACGCCCATAGTCGAGGTCACCCGCTCCATCACCAAGCACAATTACCTTGTCCTTGATGTGGAGGACATCCCCCGCGTCATACAGGAAGCCTTCTTCCTCGCGTCCTCGGGCCGTCCTGGCCCGGTGCTGGTCGACATCCCCAAGGACATCCAGCAGCAGATGGCCGTGCCGGTCTGGGACACCTCGATGAATCTACCAGGGTACATCGCACGCCTGCCCAAGCCACCCGCGACAGAATTGCTTGAGCAGGTCTTGCGTCTGGTTGGCGAGTCACGGCGCCCGATTCTCTATGTCGGTGGTGGCTGCTCTGCATCTGGTGACGAATTGCGCTGGTTTGTTGAGCTGACTGGTATCCCAGTTACAACCACTCTGATGGGCCTCGGCAATTTCCCCAGTGACGACCCGTTGTCCCTGCGCATGCTTGGGATGCATGGCACGGTGTACGCAAATTATGCCGTGGATAAGGCTGACCTGTTGCTTGCGTTTGGTGTGCGGTTTGATGATCGTGTGACAGGGAAAATTGAGGCTTTTGCAAGCAGGGCCAAGATTGTGCACATTGACATTGATCCAGCAGAGATTGGAAAGAACAAGCAACCACATGTGTCAATTTGCGCAGATGTTAAGCTTGCTTTACAGGGCTTGAATGCTCTGCTACAACAGAGCACAACAAAGACAAGTTCTGATTTTAGTGCATGGCACAATGAGTTGGACCAGCAGAAGAGGGAGTTTCCTCTGGGGTACAAAACTTTTGGTGAAGAGATCCCACCGCAATATGCCATTCAGGTGCTGGATGAGCTGACGAAAGGTGAGGCAATCATCGCTACTGGTGTTGGGCAGCACCAGATGTGGGCGGCACAATATTACACCTACAAGCGGCCACGGCAGTGGCTGTCTTCGGCTGGTCTGGGCGCAATGGGATTTGGGCTGCCTGCTGCAGCTGGTGCTTCTGTGGCTAACCCAGGTGTCACAGTTGTTGATATTGATGGGGATGGTAGCTTCCTCATGAACATTCAGGAGCTGGCATTGATCCGCATTGAGAACCTCCCTGTGAAGGTGATGGTGTTGAACAACCAACATTTGGGTATGGTGGTGCAATGGGAGGATAGGTTTTACAAGGCGAATAGGGCGCATACATACTTGGGCAACCCGGAATGTGAGAGCGAGATATATCCAGATTTTGTGACTATTGCTAAGGGGTTCAATATTCCTGCAGTCCGTGTAACAAAGAAGAGTGAAGTCCGTGCCGCCATCAAGAAGATGCTCGAGACTCCAGGGCCATACTTGTTGGATATCATCGTCCCGCACCAGGAGCATGTGCTGCCTATGATCCCAAGTGGGGGCGCATTCAAGGACATGATCCTGGATGGTGATGGCAGGACTGTGTATTAATCTATAATCTGTATGTTGGCAAAGCACCAGCCCGGCCTATGTTTGACCTGAATGACCCATAAAGAGTGGTATGCCTATGATGTTTGTATGTGCTCTATCAATAACTAAGGTGTCAACTATGAACCATATGCTCTTCTGTTTTACTTGTTTGATGTGCTTGGCATGGTAATCCTAATTAGCTTCCTGCTGTCTAGGTTTGTAGTGTGTTGTTTTCTGTAGGCATATGCATCACAAGATATCATGTAAGTTTCTTGTCCTACATATCAATAATAAGAGAATAAAGTACTTCTATGCAATAGCTCTGAGTTAAGTGTTTCAACAATTTCTGAACTTCTGAACTTATGTTTGCTCAACTGTCATCACACGAAGTACTCTCCTTGTAACTACATTTTCCCCAAGACTTTAAATCCCCTCAGTTACAGCAAAAAATAAACTTTGCATCTACTGTTTTCCCTCTCTTCGGTCGATCTTATTGGGTACTACTATAGAGAGAGGCTGCATGAAGTATTTCCTTTTTCTGTTTAGTTATGCCGTGTAAATTAGCATCCATGCAAAATAGATGAAAAATCAAGCTATTCCTGACTGCTAAGGATTATTTTTGGCATAATGTATTCTTATATACTCCCTCCGTCCCATATTATAAGGGATTTTGAGTTTTTGTTTATACTGTTTGACCACTCGTCTTATTCAAAAAATTTTAGAATTATTATTTATTTTTTTTGTGACTTACTTTATTATCTAAAGTACTTTAAGCACAATTTTCGTATTTTATATTTGCACAAATTTTTTGAATAAGACGAATGGTCAAACAATACAAATAAAAATTCAAAATCCCTTATAATATGGGACGGAGGTATGATAGTTGGTGAACTGCTACGTATTGCCATTTGACATTTTTTGGATTATGCAATTTTGCTGTCTATAGTGCTCTAATCAATTCGCAATCCCGACCTTGGAGTATTGGTCTCATGGAACCCCTCATCTGAGTAATCTCCATATTTGATTCGCAACTGAGCTGCTGCAAGCAGCAAGCCTGCAACTGGGCATTCTAGGGGCGACTACTGTTCGACCACACAAAAATCCAGGGAAAGCACAACCTCTTATCGATGTACATGACCAAGGAGATAACAGTTGCCTCATCATTTAAACATGCCTAGACAAGTAGACACGTATCCACACCTCAAGCCATAAAATTATAAATTATACTACCGTTTATCATTTTTCCTACATGTATTAGTGCCTCAAATAACCGTAAAAATGTTACCACATCATGAGGGTAATTTCATAAACAGTGCTAGTAAATGGACACCAGGACATTGTAACCCCTGATGTAAGTGTGTACTACCTAGGCCAATGGAAGCAATGAAAATGAGAAACGAACCACGTTCAAAGTGAAACACAGCGGGCACAAAACTCTACCGAGAACAACAGCATTTTTAACAATACAAAGGTCTACGTATCATTAGAAGCCTCGTTGAAAGACAAGTCAAGGTACTCTGCCAAGCTCAATCCTGATGGAGGCTTGACTTGGCCTCGGTCAGATGTATCCTTCTTTGCACGCAGTGATTCTGGAAGCCAGGACTTGGATCCATCCCTGGGTATCATTATGTTGCCAACAATAGGTTGCAAATCCCGCCATGGGTCATCAGTCATGCTTTTGTGGTAGCGAACTCTTCCATCTTGCCATCCAGAATAGTTTTGAGTGCCTGAGCCATCCCTTCCCCCTCTTCCCCTTGATCCTGGGTTGTTGTAGTTGTTTTGGCCCCTCCCTCTTCCATAAGGTGAGTCTGGTCTACCTCTGGGTCCATAGTTCATTCGGCCGCCTCCTTGGCCAGGATTATAGTTTCTGGGTCCATAGCTAGGTGGATGTGGATAAAGGCCTTGAGATGGAGGAGCAGAATGTGGATTCCATGGTGGTGGAACGCCAGAATGTGGGCTCCATGGTGGTGGAGCGCCAGGAGGAGGTCCTCGGTATCCTGACATCGGAGCCTGGAACTGCATAGGACTTCGCCAAGGACTGCCCCCTGGTGAATCATGGGACAATCGGGATGGAGTGTGAATTGGTGGTGGGGCCATATGGTGCTGGTGTGGAGGAGGATAACCGCTTCCATAGTTCCCTGATCCTGATAAACAAGCAAAGTTAGGAATTAGATGAGACTGTGCATTGTAATAATTATGAGATCATATCAAATTGCAATTATCTAGCAGAGGCACTTCTAATCTAGCATCCTATTTTTTTACTCACTATCCTGACACTCCAGTTCTCCTAAAAGTAATTTAAAGATCAACACAAACAGTAACCAAAGGATAAAATATATTTACTCTAACAAGAGTTAATAATTATGTTCTGCTGTGCTCTAAGTTGATAACCAATTTGATGGTAACCCAAACATGTTACCAGAAGTCGACAACAGTATACAGATGCAGTGCAGTGTGGCTAAATTAAAACCTACGCATAATACAGCCGAGAAATTGTACAAGCCTTTTTATAAGAAAATAACTGTAATAACAGTGTGTAGAGTTTGACTCTTAATCTCAACCTACATTCTTCACTGCCATGGTGGTTTTTGTTTTTGCGGGGAATTTTCACTACCATGGTTGTTGGTAGAGGATAAAAATTAGTTCATTTCATAAACCTAGGAAGATCACCAAAGGTTCCCTAATCAAGTTTCTATGCCCGAATCAAAATCCAGTTAAAAGGCAGCATTCTAAGTTACTGATTAATACCCATTTTCTAGTATCACCTTTATGTTCCCAGGTAGCTGAATTCCAGCAAGTTCTTAGATCAAATCATAACAATAAATTTACAGTGTTATTAAGAAACCCACATCTAAACCCGGAAACTTTGAATCTTACCAAGCAAAGCAAGTATGCTATCTCCAGATTATGTAGATCAATTTAGATCAATGCTGCAGATGAATATATCTAAGCAGTAGACTTTCTTTGATTAAAAGCAGGGAAAGTTGTCAAGTTACTCTTATCATGTGGCACAAGTGAAGAAAAATCGTGTATGTAGAGACACATAAACACCCGACTACAAATGTGGAACGCCTGTATGTATACATTGCATGTAACGAGACAACCTAAAAACACCAAACCATTCCCAGTGCCAATTTTCCTGACATAAATAATGTTTCCTTGGCATGCTGAGATTTGAGTTGTTTTTAGCATGAGTAAAAATAGCGCATGAACTTCAATTAATTAGGATGAAATGCCTAATCGAACTGGAATCAGTGACCACTATGCTATCCCTGATGGAAGTGGAAACCCTAAGAAGCAAATCACATCATGTAATTTATCCTAAGCTACCTTGGGCGTTCGCAGTAAACGTTGGAAGAAGAGCAATTAGTAAGCCTAAGAGAGGAACAAGTGTGTAGGCTACCCGGAGGCGGGGGCTCCGCGACCTTGCGCTTGTGGGAAGCAGCCGACGAGGAGGCGAAGGCGGCGGCGGGGTTGGTGTAGTAGTCGAACCGCGGAGGCGGGCGTGGGGCCGCGGCGGTGGTGGTGGCGGAGGCGTCCATCAGGTCGCGCACCGGGAGATCCCACGCGTCCGCCGCAGGTGGCGGCGGATGCGGTGCGGCCGACGGCGAGGGGGCTGCTGCGGCGGAGGAGCGGAGCGCGAGGAGGCGCTCCCGCCGCTGCGCCGACGACTCCTCCTGCTCGCCGCCCTCCATCTAAACCCGCGCCGCGCCGCGCCTCGCCTGCTACTGCTCCCCCTGTCCCTCGTCCTCGTCGGCGGCGCCGCCGCTTTTGCGAGAATCCGACGGCGAACTCGTCGGCTCGAGACGGGGGACTTCGGGAGGCCGGGCTAAAGAGCTGAGAAGAATAGTTGACTACGGGCTTGATACTGTGGGCCGAGTGCCCCAGCTAGGCCCACAGCTGAAGCATTCGTAGTTCGAAAAAGTCCACTATGAGTCCCTTAAATTAGTGGCCTGATCTGATTCAAATCTCACACCCGCAAAACCAAATATAACGGACTCCTTCAACTATTAAAACCATCTCACTGGCGTGGTGTCTATGTGACAGCCCAGTCATCATCAAATAACTTTTATAAAAAATAAAGTTACCATCCCCCATCTCTACTAACCTCTTTCTCCCCTTTTCCCAAATTTGCATAGCCTACGTTTTTCTTAGGATCATATCCCCTATTATATTGGATCTAATTATTCTTGAAACATGCATGATCTAATATGATCACCTAATTTATCTTATTTATGCGAAATTAATACGGGTACTCAGTACTCACCCGCGCTTGATGAAGCCATGAGTGCCGCGGTAGAACTCGATCGCTTTTGAGTTGTAGATGTAGTCGTAGCAGAACGTCGATGGTGGAGATGTAGTCACGCTGTTCCGGCCCGTCTCCACCAACCGGCAGCGGCAAAGCTTGAATAATAGGGAGATGGGAGCCCAATCACAATGGTACAATACAACAGGGAAATACGACTCGACGATAAAAACCCAATCTCACCTATCTACTCTATAATTTAACAAATGATTTTACTCATTCATCGTGTGACACATCCAACGATCGAAAATCATCTGATGATGTCGATCCAACGGCTCGCCGCCTCCCTCCAAATCCGATCGGATCGCCTCCCCTCCCCAGGCAAAATCACCGTGTCCTCGCCAGAACATCACGGACCGCCTCGCACAGGGGTTCACCGGCCTGCTGCAGGCGCAACCGCCGCAGTTTCCGTGGCCGGCGGATTCCCTTCGAGATCGACCTCCCCGTGGTCCCCTTCGGCGCCTCCTGGGGTGCCCGGGCCGGGAAGGAGTTCTTCCCCGCCGCGGCCGTCGCCTCCGTCATCGACATCGGCAGGAGGCTCGGCCAGGCTGGCGTAGAGATTGGGGCGTCCGTGGTAAATGCATCATTCAAGAAATGGTTTTCAAACAGGCGAGCATCCTGACGGGATCATCCCAGGGACCACGATGCTCTTCGCCCCGTGCTTCATCAGCCTCTGTTTGAAGAACAACAAAGAGAGATTGGTGGATTAGTTGCTAATTTACCATGGTCTGATTGTACTTGCCTGTTCGGTTCCAAATTAAAGCATTTTCTAATCTCTACGCCATTTGTTCCTAATCTCTACGCCATTTCCTTGGTAGATTAGGAACTAATCTGTTTTAATGATGCATTTGCCTGTTCGGTTCCAAATTAGAGCATTTTCTTTGTGCATTTTAGCTTATTTGGCAACATTCATGACCCGTGAGGGCAATATGAGATATTTAGTTCTGCTTTGTATGACCTGACCTAGAGAAGCTTTGTATGCCATCCATTTTTATTTACATGAGCTAAGCTGTGTGGATTTTGAAGATTCCACAATGCTTTCTTCTGATTTATTAAAGAAACTTCTCCATGAACCCAAGTTCATAAATGATAAGTTGTCAGTATTTAATCACTTTGTTCCTTTGCCACAATGGGATACAATTCTCTTTAATTTATTAGTGTAATGTGAATGATGTAGTGTAAATGTTTCTTTTTTACGTGACCTAAGCTGTGTGAGTTTTGAAGTACATTCACTCTGTCTTGTCTCTTCTTGTACAATGGTGACCACAAGTTACCCGTGTATATCATAATCAACATTTTTTTAGTACACGAAGCATATAGTATGAGATTAAACCTGTGCAAAACACATCTGATTGTTTCAGATTAGACTCTATTATTACTTCGTAATAGATTTATCTGTTATTTCAAATGATCGAATGTTCCATGACTCCTTATATCTTTTCAGTTTCGGAACCTGGAATGTTGTCCTTGCACGACTAATGAATTATTGATGTGCTCTTGATTTGCAGAATAAGGGGACTAGAGAGTGTTTGGGAGGATCTGCTACTGATTGGCAGGATGAACAGAGTTGTTTTAGTTTCATTCCCACCTCTGATGGTATGCCCTTGGCTAAACAACTAGAGTGTGCTGCTAGCCTATTACTAATAGGAGCAATGCATTTTTATCTTGGTCATATGATAGGTGATAACCTATTTTCTATAAAGAAATATTGCATGGAAGGCACTCGGACAGATTGTTTTGTTGGGAAAAAATTGCTTTAGCTGCAGCCTGTCTGCTGGGAGACCACTGCATTACCAACGTATGATTGATTGTTTTGTGTTCCTCAGAAAAAATGGCTAATTCCATATCCATAAGGGAAGATGCTCTTAGTATTGGAGGTTTTCTTGCAATCGGCAAACATATGAATGTTACAAATAAACTAAAATTAAATTCATAACTTTGAGCAAATCTCCAGGAAAAAATCACTTTAGGTTTCTATATTATTATAAGAAATTTCTAAATTTGGGGCACTGTGTGAATAATATCAAGTTTTTAATTATGTGTACTGTATTTGTCACCCTAGGAATATTTGAGGGGCAATATATTTGTCAAGCTTAAGTATTGAATTTCAATCCATGTGAGAAGATAGTACAAATGAATTGTAAACAGAACATACCGTCACTGGCTTCAAGGTAAACATGAATATATTTCTAAGATGTCATTTTAGTCTACAGTAGATATATACACTGTAACTAGGTATGTCGTTTTTATTTGTGAAACTCAATAGGTGTAACTGTTGCTATTTAAATGCAGATTTCAAAAACAAGTATACCACAAATTGGTGTTGTTAAGTAGTTATGCAGCAATACTGATTATTATTTGGTTTTTATACAATTAGTGTGGAATCACATCACCCATGTTCTTTTGGGATTATTGGGATCAATTGTTTCCAATGTGCAAGGGCTATGGCATTTCAAGGTGCTGAGATATTGCACACCCCATGATAATCTGCCTAGACTTCCATGAACACTGGAAGCGTGTCATGCAAGGCCATGTTAGTGCTAGCTCCATATTGCCATATGCTTTTTTTCCCTACAAATCATTTTTGAATAAGTTGTTTGAACCGATCTACTCCAAAGGACCAATGGATCGGTGGAAGAGAGAAGCATCCTTTTCAATTTGCCATACTGCTGAGAGCATTTTTATTTTCATCACAATCTTGATGTTATACCTATTATCTTGCAAAATAACATTGTCTTGAACTTTCAAGTCAGAACATGAAGATTGTTTCGCATATAGCAATTTTCCTCAGTTGCCAGCTGCTAGCCATCAGCGCATCATCAACCTTGAAGTGAAGAATAAACAAATTAGATGGCAGTTGTTTTATTTTATTCTAAATATTAGAGGCACCTGTAATATATTATTAATCTATTGGAAAGATATTGTTGTTATACTCAGTGAATTTCCAAAAAAAATAAGGCTTAGTTTCTTCTCTGTTGCAATGATTTATTTCTTGCCAACATAGATTTCATATACATTATTGTACTCCGGTTACATGATCTAAAGTGTGGTGTTTATTTTTCATTTTTCAACTTCAATGCAAACTACAATGAAGCTTGATTTCTGTCTAAAATGAAAATGTACCGTCTTGTGTATGTATTGAGTCCATGCTACAAAATGTTAGGTTCAACCAACATTTTGCGGACAAATTTCAGTGATTGCATATTTTGTGGGGGTATATCTCACTATATACGCAGTGTTTTTCGGGTGTTTCATTTTTAATATCCATTTTGTCGTAGCGTTAGCACGGGCATATTACTAGTCTATGATAGTACACGATCGCCCTTAGGCCTATTTAAGTGCACGCAGGCATCATATACCAGACTAGATCGGTCTGGGACTCCTACCCGAACTCGGAACTCATACATGCACCAACACAAATTAAAAACGCAAAGGCTAATTAAGGTATAATCCTAATTAAGATAATAGTGATGATGCCGCCAATAAATCAGTTTGGAGGGAGACTACACAAATGGTATACTGTCAGCACAATATTGTTGATATCGGATCTTAGTAACATATATTATACATCGTAAATACTAAATCCTAATACCTAAGGTATCATATTGATGTCAGCATGGTACCGTAAGCAGCCTGGCACCCTCGCCGCATCGCTGCAGTGTAGAGAGGAGAAGGAGAGGAATAGATAAGGTTGAGGAGAGAGTTAAAAGGAGAGGAGGAGGGAGGAGTTAAAAGGAGAGGAGGAGATACCTCGATCCAATCGTGCAGGCCTCTTCGATCTCCGCGTCGATCTTTTTTCCCGGTTGGTGTTACCAACCGGGACTATAAATAGATCTTTAGTCCCGGTTGGTAACACCAACCGGGAAAAAAGATCGCTCCCGGTTGGTGTTACCAACCGGGACTACAAATAGATCTTTAGTCCCGGTTGGTAACACCAACCGGTACTAAAGATTGGAAAGTACCCCTAGAGCTTTAAAACCGGGACTAAAGATATTTTTAGTCGGTTTTTAATACAACCGGGACTATTGTGAAATCTGGTCGACCGACCAAAGATGGTTTCTCCACCAGTGGTACTAAATCTAATCTACTACGTAGATATCATGCTGTTAACAGCGAAATTTGATAAGATATACTCAGATTTGGAGATAGATATCGAAGCTGATTTGAAGTAGATTGAATCTTGCCAAAACGGAGTACGCATCGACTGGAAACAGAGTAGTACTCGGATTGAGCCGATATGGGAAGATAGCCAGTTCGCATCGGCCGGAAACAGAGTAGTACTCAGATTGAGCCGATATGGGAAGACAGCCGATACAGCTTGACTCATCGGCTGGATGTTGCATCGGCTGGAAATAGAGTAGTACTCAGATTGAGCCGATATGGGAAGATAGCAGATACAACTTGGCTCGCGCTTGGTTGAGCTGAGATGGAAGATAGTTGGTACAACTTGACTTCGGCTCGGTGTGGGCCTAAATTAGAATAACTAACGGTCTGTTTGGTTGGAGGGAGTTTTTAGGAGGGATTGGGAGTTTAGAGGGAAGAGGCTATTAACTGTTTTGTTTGGTTGGGGGACATGGGAATTTTGGTGGGATGGGGATGGGGAATTGAGGAATGAACTCCCTCCTTTTCAATACCTGGGTAGGGGTAGGTAATTGGGAGGGAATTCCTCCTTTACTTCGCCTAAACAAATCTCAGACATCCGTTTTCATTAATGATCTAATCTCCAACTAAACTCCCTATCAATTTCCACCACCTCTACCAAACAAGAGACTGGGATAAAAAATCAAATTCCCATCTTAATCTCACCATCAATTCTCTCGTGTAAACTCCTAATCCCCTTCCCTCAAGTTGCCAAACAAGCCGTAAGTATTGTCGTATAGGGATAGAGCCCATCTAGGGCAATTGTATCTGCTAATTACAATATTAATGTCAGTTTGAATTAGAAATATGGTAAGAGTCCATCATGTGGGCTTTTGTTTTTTTAGGAAAGTTCGAAACGTGTCCATAATTGACAAGTTTTCTACTATGGGTATAAATATAAACCCAAGATCATTGTAAAACGGGAAGAACATCCAATCAATACAACTTTCGGCGCATCGCCACCTTTTCCTTTTAAGTTTTTTATGGGTTCTTGCTTCAAGTCGAGGTGATATAAAAACTAAATAGCACTTAAACAAAACTAACCTAAGTTGTTAGGCTCGGTGAGGAACAAGTCTAACTAAGCAACTAATTTATGTTTTGCAATCCTAGGGTGATAGTGGCTCAAGTATATCTCTAGGAAAGAAAATCGCACACCTAAATTATGTTTTGCAATCCTAGGGTGATATGAGCTCAAATATGTATCTACAAATGTAAATGCAATAAATAAATGAGACAAGAGACAAGGAGTATTTCACCGAGGTTCGAAAACTCGCCGGTTTCCTAATCCCCGTAGAGGCGAGCCCAACTCCACCGCTCAACCACGAAGCCACCGCACGCCTCCTTCGTCAAGGGGTGGGCAAGGCAGCAGCCGGCCCACGGAGAGGACTACCCAAGCCTCGATCACTAGGGGTAGTTCTTCCTTTACTCCGAAGGTGGTGAACTCCAAACCACTCACAAACCGACGTCAGGCCTCCTCCACAGTCTCCTCGGAGAGGTCACCGGGCAACACCTCCACAAGTCGTCTTGGAGGCGGCAACCTCCAAGAGTAATAAGTGATGACCCGTCTCGGAGATGATCAAGTGCCGCACTAGCTCTACAATGGAAGCAATGCACTTGACTCTTGGCTAGAACAACCCTCAAACACACTAGATGGATGAACACAAAGCTTAAGTGAGTGTGTGAGAGGTGCAAGGGGTGTATACAATTGAATTGGGTGCCAAGAGAGTCCCCTTGCTGCTGGTGGGGGAGTATTTATACTCTCACCCACCAAAACTAGCCGTTGGGGGCGAAATCCCCCAACTCTGTGTATTGCCAGTCAGACCGGCGGTGTGTGGCCGGTTAGACCGTGCTACTTTGCGACGGCTAGAAAACTAGTCGTTATAGGCAATAATTTGAACCTATCATTGGGGGCCGGTCAGACCGGAGTGTAGTGGCCAGTCAGACCGGCAAGGGCTCGGTCAGACCGCTACCGGCTCGGTCTGATCGATTACGGCTCCAGCGGCTCGGGTTTTCCACCCAAGGAGCACCCAACATGGCCACTGCCGAAATACCCTAGGCCGGTCAGACTAGGGTACACCCACCGGTCAGACCGACCGACCTATGCCGGTCAGACCGCCTTTAGGGGCCCGGTCAGGCCGGCCCTGGTCACCCAGTGCAGACACAGGTAAATGAAAGTGTGAGCAAGTTTAAATGCAAATGACCTAATGTGGCATTTTGATAATCTCTTTGTTAGGTCGTTACCCCTCTTAATAGTACGTCGAAGCTAAAAATAAACTAGCAAATTTGATTACCCAAACTCCTCGATCAATTTTAAAATGAAAACACTAGTTTACCGTCTTCTTTTCCTTTTGCTTTGCGACGTCAATTTTAACCCTTCGGTAATCATCCATGCGCACACAATAAGTGAACCTAACTTAAAATAAATATCTCAAAGATAACAGTTAGTCCACAATTAGTGCTTATCATTAATTACTAAAATTAACAACGGTGGCCTAGATGATTCAACGAGTACATCTACAACTGTATTAATTTAGGCCCGATTGAGATGACTTCGTTCTGACGGCTCACGTTGCCCAGACATGTGAGGGGCCGTCACAGATGAGAGGATCTGCACTAGTGAGCTCTACTACAAAACTTGCTCTTAGGGATAGTTAAGCATTTGTTTCTTGTGCATATGGGGAGTTAAAGTCCGCATTCTTCTTGATTATATATATCCGTCACATACTAACATTAAATAAAATACATGATACTTAAGTCTTTCTTATTTTTGAGGAAAAAACTTATATGACGATTAATATGGAATGGAGGGAGTAGTTAGCTTTACTTATTGGATTTTTTTATATACATTTCATCGATTCTTGAACATTTTAAATGCGCAACAATGCATGCTCCAAAATCTTATGCAAATTTGTGCCGTAATGATCGAACAACATCCTCTGTTCATGTGCAGCGTCACGTTACTGTACTGTACATCAGTACATGCCTGCCGATTATTTGCCCTAATCTTTTTGTGATCATGCATGCATGGGGCTAATCAGTGGTTAGACTGATCGGTAGCGATTAAACTAATCAAATCCCAACATCCTCAGTGTCAGAAGCTAATAGCCTCGAAATCTTACACACTACTCCACCATTGATTTAATTTAATTTGGAACTTACGGAGTAGATCCTAGCTAGAACTTGAGTAAATGTGCCGTTATATATGCGTACAACGAAAATGTGTGATTAACATTCATGTGATACTCCTGGTCGGGTTAGTGCCATTTTAGCTTGGCTATAGCAAAAGTTCTGCCTAAATACTACTTCGTACTCCACGTAGTATACGATATCAAAACAGCACGTAAAGTAGCACAACTTTAACAAACACCACTTTTCATTCTTGACGCAAAATTCATCACCTTGAAATTACTAGCTGAAGTTGAAATCATCAGAATGGCCTTACCTAATTATGCATCCATGAGTTCCTTTTGTTCTTGTAACTTCTAAGCATAATCACACTAGTAACATTGTACTTAGAATATAGACATCATGCATATCCTGGCCCTACCTTATCACATTGCTATTGTCAGTTCCACTGAAACAGCCATGTGGCCACACATTTGCTAGTACGTACCAAGTACCGATCTAGGTAGTATTATTACTACTTGGCAATAATATTGAAAATTTTCCCGGATAATGAGAAGTACATATATCCATTACGCCGTAGTATTATATTAGTTCAAGTACTGTATGCACATTATCCGGAGTTTCTATTCAGTGTTCCTTAAGGGATTTCTTTGGTTCTTTCTTTTTTTAATTAGTACACCTATTAATTGGAAAGTGATACACGTGAAAAAAAATTATAAACCCTTTACAAGGACTGATGTGGCAAGCTGTGATTGCATCAAGACTAGCTCTTCGCAAATCATAACTACCAACTGATTAATAAATCAAACAGAGTTCTTTGAATGTAAGAGCTCCATAAGAAAATTTTAGTGTTTGTTTTCATCCTAGAGGTTCCTGAACCGGTTTCTGTAAAAGAAAACGGAATTGCTAAACTTCTGTCGATAGAAAATAGAATCTTAAATCTTGCAAACTTTGGATCACTCGATGTGCTTTATGATTCGTGCTCTTCTTCTTCAACTCCGGCAACCACCTCTTCTTCTCCGGCGCGGACGAACCCAAACTCCGGCAGAGGGCCGACGAATTAGGGTCCCAGGATGGGGTGGGGGTGGGAGGGGGGAGGGGGAGGAGGAAGAGGGGGGAGTTCGCTGGCTTTAAAGGGATGGCTGTGGGAGGCGGATCGGGCGGGCAGCGAGGCGGCGGCGCCGCCGCCGAAGCCACGGGGTCGAGAGCGGGGCGGTGGCCGGTGTAGGCGGTGCGAGCAAAGCAGATGGATTATTAGGAGGAGAAGGCCGGTGGTGGCGCCCCGCCGTTGGAGACGGAGAAGAAGATGGCGCGGGACAACTCGCTTGAGGAAAAGGAGAGGAGAGGGAGGGGGGAGGGTGAGGGGGGGCGAGGGCTCGCCGGCGCCGTTAACGCCTTTCAGCCAGCTGGTGAGGCAGGGCGGCGGCGCGGTGGAGCAGTGGCGGTGGAATGGCCGATGGGAGGGAGCGGTGGCGGTGGAATGAGCGAGGGGAGGGGAACGAGAGGAAGAGTTAAGGTTAATACCTCTGCACGAATCTTAAAGCATATTCGATGGTCTAAAGTTTAAAAGACGGGATGCGGGATTTTTTATCAACAAATATATAGACAGTCCCAAAAGAAAAACTAAACCAACTGAGATCATCTCTATAAGAATTGATGTGGGCATACTATGATGATGCCATTTTCAACCTTACCAAATTTTGGTGAAGTTACCAAAAAAGTGGCTACATTTAGTTTGCTGCTAAATTTTGGTAACTATATAAGAAATCCTGCAAAAATTTTGGCAAGTTGCCAAAATTTTGCTAACTATGCCAAAATTTTGGCAATGCCAAAATTTGGTAAGGTTTTTTTTTGGCAACAAAGTAAACAGGCCCATAATTTTATTTTGCTTTTTTTTATATAATAAAACGAGTGAGATCTTTGGTTGCAAGTGTTCAAAAAATATTTTAAATACGTATAGCACTGCTCCTGCTTTTTCGTTTTACGGTAGTAGATGTTTCTGTTCTGAACCGGTTTCTGAAAAAGAAAAGCTGAACCTTCAACACACGCAATGCATCAGAAGTTGCAGCGAGAAAATTTGGCCAAGACATTCCTGCCCATACGCCCATACCGAAATACTCCTACCATATGATGATGTATCGTATCGTATCGTATCATGTAGGAGTGCACTGGTATGGCAACGACAGCAGAGCTCCTCTGCAGTGGCAAAACACACGGCATCCCAACAAAAGAAACAGTGGACGGTGACCTTTATACGGAGTACCATCGAGACTGTAACAAAAGGAGTAGTAAATCACACATTAACTCCTCGAAGGACGCAACGGCGTCGTCTTTGGTGAGGCTCAGCCGACCTTGCCGTCACACATTAACTGTTCGCTCAGACAAGCGAGTAGTAGTAGTATAATCTGTTTTTTGCTTTTTTGCCCTTTTCACGGTTTTTCCTGATCTTTCTGGGCTTTCTCCCCGTACATCTCTATCCGCTTCACGCTCGGACGAGTCGATTTGTGTAAAGTTTATATCGTCCTCAGAAATTTCTTGATGAACGACGAACAGAAATGAATATGGTAAGCGAAAATTGAGTGAAAAAACATCACTAATTTTTTTGAACCAACACTATATCATACACCTAGTCACCTACTCCTATGTAGTATAAAAAATCAAGATACTGCAACGTTTGTCAGAAAGAAAAAAAATATTTTCCTGACATGTCCTCCCCACAAAAATGTTGTCGCCAAAATCTGAAATGAGAGGGGGAAAAAAAACAGATATAGGAGATGATGGAGACAAGCGTGATTAGTTCCAAATTCCAAGGCATTTTCTGAGAGATAAACCCGCACCGTCCGTCTCCGTCTCCGTCCTCTCTCGCTTCCGTACTACTCCACTAGTGTCACTCGCAGCCAACCAACCAGCGTTTTTACCTCCACAGCTTCAACTTCAAAGGGCGCAAAGAACGCAACAAGGACCAGAGCCAGAGTGAGCCACCACCAGAGGCGTGACCGAATCGGCTAGCGAGTGAGAGAGGAGGAGCAGTTCACAGTTGCAGTTCCACGCTCGCAGTAGTGTCCAGAGCAGAGCGCGAGGGAAGAGGGCGCAGAGAGCAGGAGGAGAGGCAGGCAGCCATGGGCGAGGTATGGTCTCTCTTTCCGTTCTTGGTAATGTGCGGGGGCGCGTGCGCGCGGCTCCCTGTGGCCGAGGAAGGCGGCGGCGCCACGCCTACCTTTGATGCGCTTCCCGTTTCTTGCGTGCAGGAGGAGAAGGTGAAGGAGGAGGCGGCGGCGGAGAAGGGGAAGGAGGCGGCGGTAGCGGAGGAGAAGGAGGCGGCGGCGGCAGGGGAGGAGAAGAAGGAGGACGCGCCGCCGCCGCCGCCACCGCCGGAGGAGGTGGTGATGCGGGTCTTCATGCACTGCGAAGGGTGCGCTCGCAAGGTCAAGAAGATACTCAGGGGATTTGATGGTAATGGAGAAAGCCTCTTCTCTTCTTCTTTTTCTGTTTATCTCTAGCTTTCTTCTTGTTTTCTGGCCTTGTTCTTCACTTCTTGTGCTACTGTGTAATGTTTTTCCCTTTGGTTCAGAGTTCAGACTTTACAGGGTTTACACTTAACTTGATAATAAAATGTGGTACTACCTAGTAGTTTTTATACTTCAGATAACTATTTTTTTAGCATATTATATTGGCATGTTAAGTGTGGTCTCCTAGTTTATCAGTTTGGTGCCAGTTTTGGACTTCTGGTTCCCATCTTGTTTGTATTTTGTGGAGGAAGAGTACTTCATTGCTTCGTTCTCGACATGTTCTTTTACCTCGTTAAACTTTAGGGTTAAGTGATGGCTTATGTTTTTTTTTAAACGGCAAACAATTTAGTCATTTGAAGTATTGGGGTAAGTGTTTGTTAAGTACATTTTATTTGCTTCTTTGTAACGTAAGTTTAGTGCCTCCTTCAGAAACTTTTTTGAGTTCGAATTGGCAAGTTTTGTTTTGTGGTGTGCTATTTTTCTTTGAAGGGTTATTCAAAACTGTTATTGCAACATCCGGCAGCAATTGAAGAGGTTTGAAATCATTCAGATTCGCTTAATTAGACCTTTCTTTCAAGATTTTCCACGTGCATTTACTGTTAATGATGGGGAAAACAACTCCTGATGCAGATAACTTTTTACTCGGAAGATAATAGGATAGCTCGAGTGCCATAAAGATGAATCGCAACTGCTATATGTTGATGCTCTTCAAAAAAGTTTAGATTATCTTTGAATGTTGAATGAAAAGACATACATAACACATTTAAAACTTCCAAGTTCTGTACTAGCACTCAGTGACTCCGATCACAAGGCACACACTTATTTTGCAGAGATCAAAATTGTTATGATTCTTGGTATTTTGGTTCAGTTGTTGTAGTTAGGCATGAGCCAACGAAAACTAAAAAAAAATGGGATGCAGGAGTGGAAGATGTTGTCGCGGACTCGAAAGCTCACAAGGTGATCGTGAAGGGAAAGAAGGCTGCTGCTGACCCAATGAAGGTGGTGCACCGTGTGCAGAAGAAGACAGGCCGCAAGGTTGAGCTTCTATCACCGATGCCACCTCCGGTGGAGGAGAAGAAGGAAGAGGAGAAAAAGGAAGAGCCCGAGCCACCAAAACCTGAAGAGAAGGAGGTGAATTATTCTTCCGAAAAGTTCATCTAGTCACTCATCCATACTGACATCAACATATCACCTACTTGGGCTAGCTTCCATCATTTCGCTTGCGTTGTGTACAATGTTGTTGTTTGTGCGATTTTGACACTGAGATCTTGATGTCTTGTTTTGTTCATTAGCCAACGGTGATAGCGGTGGTCCTGAAGGTGCATATGCATTGTGAGGCCTGTGCGCAAGTTATCAGGAAGAAAATCCTCAAGATGAAAGGTACATGATTTGTTGCTATCTCCCTTCTGTTTTATTGCAAATACATATGTTATGTTGGTACACTGAATCTGTTTTTTTTTTCTGTGTATGAAGTTTGTATTTCTGCACAGTGAATACATATTCGTGGGTTGCTTTGATCAAAGAGAATAGCTATCTTTTAAATTTGATCTTCTTATTCACAGATGAGATTGAAATTTTTTGCCTGATACTAGACCTGCCCATTTCCCCTGTCTTGGGTGTTTCAGTTTGCCTGACCATAATGGTGAGAATTGGCCAATTGGGAGTGGACAATTATTATGAATTGTTACTCTAGGCACACTACTTTAACTAACCTTATTTAGTTTAAGAACATAAACTTTCAAAGAACAATATACTACTTTCTTAGTAATACAACACAGTTGTATTTCATAAGTTATTTGATAGTTCTTTTATATCGAAGGATCCATGTCCTGTTCGTTTCCACTACTAGCAGTGGATGAAATTTTGGATTTTCGTGGCACGCTTTTCAAACCGCTAAACGGTGTCTTTCGTGCGAAAAATTTCTATATGAAAGTTGTTCTAAAATATCAGATTAATTCATTTTTCAAGTTTGTAATAATTAAAACTCAATTAATCACACGTTATTACCACATCGTTTTGCGTGAAACACTTAATCTTCATCTTCATCTTCAGGAGATTCAAACACCAGTCATTTACTACTTCAGGACCCACTGAGTAATCTCTCTCTCTCTTTTTGTAGGAGTGCAATCAGCAGAGCCAGACATGAAGGCATCACAAGTGACGGTGAAGGGTGTGTTTGAGGAGTCAAAGCTCACCGATTACGTGCATAAACGCATTGGTAAGAATGCCGCCGTTGTAAAATCTGAACCAGCCCCTCCCCCTGAGAATGCTGGCGATGCAAATGCAAAGGATGACAAGAAGGCGGCCGAAGGTGGCGAGGAGAAGGACGAGAGCAAGGAGGAAAAGAAGGAAGGTGATGATGAGAAAGAAAAGGAGAAAGAGAAGGATGATAGCAATGCTGCCGAGGTTGAAGAGAAGGACAAAGAGAAAGATCCTTCAGCCTTGGCTGCTGCTAATCTGTATATGCATTACCCAAGATTCAGCAACCCTGGTGGATATGGTGTTCCTGGCTACGCATACCCGTATGCGCCGCAGCTCTTCAGTGACGAGAATCCAAACGCCTGTGTTGTGATGTGAGAAGGTGAGAACAATGAGGTCCAAATTGGGGGAAATAAGAGTGAGACTACGCATCCCCTAACTTCTGGGGGGTGAAATCGGCTGTTCGAAGATAGGATCAAGCAAGCCATTTTGGTTTCTAACTGTTCTCATGTAATTAAAATGTGAACTGTTGGCCTCGTCTCTATTGTCGGCCTTCATGGACATTATATTATGTAAGCTAAAAATGTAGGATTTTGCTTTGAGCTTTCTCTCTATTGGCTTTCCTTTTGTAAAAATTGTATAATATATATATTGTTAGTGTTGAAATAGCTTGTGTATCCTTGTTATTGTCTCAGGAGGAGCACCCTCTAGTCATTATTGCTAGAGCTGTGAGGAGCATTTTTATTATGATTATGACTTCATTGAAGGGGCTTAAATCTTAGTGCCTATCTTATCTTATCCTATAATACGAATTCAACGCAAACAATCGAAAGGAGAATCATGCCACGTGGCACCACCAGTTTCGCGGAAGGGGCTTAACGAAACGATCTTGCGTCCGCGCGTGCAGGGATCGATGAAACACTCTTGCGTGCGTGCGTGCATGCACCGGGCCTCCAGAAATTTCTCGGCAATCAAACTCCAATGGGCCACGGCTCGATAGCCCGTGCGAATTGTGCCGTGTGATGGCACAAGAACATGCTGGGTGACGATTCTAGAGAGAACCGGCGCCATTGTGTGGATGAGACGAGATACTATGCATACATGTAGTGCAAACAGCCGATGCATACTGATCGATTCATGAACTACGTTGCTGGCTTTGATTTCTCACGTTGCCGCCGTACGTCTAGCAAAGCTCATGCAGGAAGGCAGGCAGCTATTGCTTCCTTTCATCACCCGATCTTGAGGATCAAAGAAGTAATAATACCTTTAGTTAGGAATTAAAATAGGATTAGCAGGATGTAATTAAATCATCCACTAAAAATTCCTACGTTCCAAGCATCCATTTTTTAAACTTTCTATGTTTTTTATTCCACTGTTTAACACCCGTATTTATGCATTTTATATTCCAAATGTTTTCTTTCATGTATTTTGTTTACTTGAGTTCCAAACCTGCCTATGTTTGAGAGGAGAGGGAAAAATGAGATATGTAAAATGAGGTGACCTATTATCGCATGATTAATTGAATATTAAATATTTCAAACATGGAAAATATAGAAATATGATTATTTTAAAAGTAACTTTTCTACAATTTTTTTATGTAAAAAACACGCCGGGTGAAAAAAATGATGGATGTTTCTCCCTTTATCGAATACAGCCTTAGAACAAAGTACAATATAAAGCAAATAAGCTAGCTATAGAAGAACAAAGGAGAGAGAAGAAAAGTGGACTACATATTAGTTAATTGTAATATGAGCTCCAAAATAGTACGTGAGAAGTAACCACCCCTCATAAAATGGGTAATCTCTTCACAAACTCCAAGAAAAGAATGGTGTTGATTGGATGCAAATTGGAGCCATATGTTACATAAAGTTTATTACATATGCTACATCTTAATTAATTAGTTGATCATGTGAATAAATTAGTGGTCGTAATCACCCCTGCCATAAAAGCTGCTCATAAAATTTGCTCTTAGAGGAAAGATAATAGTGGGCCATAAACTTAGGTGGAGGATAGAGATAAAAAAAATATATAGTGTTGGCTTTCGAGCAAAATATAACTTTACACATGCTTCAAGGTAAATACATTAAATTCTTATAAGTGAGATAAAGAGAGGAAAAAGAAATAGAGACAATCTTATAGCCAACTTATAAGCTCTAAAATGGCTTCCTGGGTTCTGATCAACAATTTAATTTTGCAAATAGTGACTACAAATATGACTTAGACTTTTAAAAAACAAAGAATGGAATAAGGTCCTCTTTGTTTAGGTTTATAAGCCGAAAAGTCTAAGCCTAAACAAACAAGCAGCTTATTCGTTTGGCTTTTTTGAAGCCATAAGCCACTCTAACACTATTAAGGCAAAATCTAGGTTGGAGAAGTTTTTTTGACTTATGTGAGGTGAATGTATGACTCCACCACTAAACTTAGAACATTAAATCCACCTGCTTATAAATCATATAAACTAATAAGCTGACTTAAAAGTCTAAGCCAATAAATATAAGCCTAAATAAAAAGTGCTTATAAGTCTTAGAATTTTGAAAGAGGGAGTATTAATCTGGCTCTTCAATATATACGTATTAATTTGTTACCTGTTCACTAAGCCAATGGGCCAGGCTCATTGTAACACGCGTGGCAAAGCCACGCGCTCTTTCTATTAATTACATATACTTGGGATTGTTTTCAATCAGATTTTAGTGCGGTTACTAAGGCTGTGTTTAGATCCAAAGTTTGGATCCAAACTTCAGTCCTTTTCCATCACATTAACCTGTCATACACACAACTTTTCAATCACATCATCTCCAATTTCAACCAAAATCCAAACTTTGCGCTGAACTAAACACAGAATTAACCATTGCCATGTGTCTCTTGAACTGTTTTTTTTTGGGGGGGGGGACCACCACATGTGTGGGGTGCATTTGCGTGTATATAGAGAAAATATGTAATGTAAACCCATATAGTGAAAACATATAAACTATTGTTGATTAAAAATAGGCAAATTAGATTTGTCCCGTCACTAGGAATAAAAATTTTACTCTCAACTTTAATTATTAGTAAAATCAAATATGCCTCATCCATTGCCCCACCTTATTCAAAGTAGGGGGAAAAGGTAGTTTTATTTGGATTCTATCTGGTTGTGAGTCTCTATCAGCCTAATTTGAGTATAGATTTATCATTAATCTTTATCTTTTTAAACGTGTGAATAAGAAAGTCTACTCGTGGATATGTAAATGTGTTGTGTTGTAAACTTGTAATGTGTCGGGTGCAGGGTCCACTTCATCGGTTTAGCCCATTTGACCGGAGGTCACCAAAATCCCGAAATTTTAAAATTTTTCGGTCAAAGTAATATTATGAAAATTTAAATAAATATTATTAAAATTTATGAAAAAATATTGAAAAATTTCGGTCAAATAATATCGTATCGGAAGGACCGAAATGACCGAAATTTGCGTGCATCAATCGCAGGGAAAGTCACGGTGCGCATGCGCTACCGTGGGTCGTAGGACGGTCCGACTTTTGCCGTAGATGCGCGCTCTGCTGCCGTGACGGGGAGAGAGATCGCCGCGCGCCGCGTTGTCAGATGCGCGATCTGTACTACATGCATGTACTGTGCGTACCTACCTACCTGGCCGTGCGCGCATGGTGATCGACAAACACACGACACGATCGCGGGCATGGGAGTAACTGCGCGTGCACGCGCGCGCGTGATGGATGCACTAGTGACTTGACTCTGCTTGCCGTGCAAAACAATGCGACTCTCGTGATTCCCATTGCTCTACTGCGCACTTGAATGTGTGTGTACATGGACGACGTCGATCGTCCTACAGCCTACTACAGGTCCGGCTTTGCTGAACAGGGTTTCAATTAAGAACCTTTAATTTCTACTGTGTCGGGCCTACCAGCCTGCCCAAGATGCCTTTTATAGGACAAAAAACGTGCATGAGTTTTACCAAAAAGAAAAAAAAAAGAAAAAGAAACAACGTGTTTCCCTTTTGAATTCATAATTGGTTTACTTATATTGGCTATCGTTGAGGTCCGATTATTGGTCTAGCAATTTCATATATCAAACGGTACGATACAAATTAATACACATCACAAAATAGGTCTAGATAGTAGTTTTTTAATATTTTATTTGTTGAGATGAGGTCTAGACACTTGATAATCTAAAATAAAATGCAAATGGACATGAGGGCAAAGCCAATATTTAAAGCTCATACACATTTCAAAATCTTTTTTTTGCGGGGTAGACACTTTTGATAATCTAAAATAAAATGCAAATGGACATGAGGGCAAAGCCGATATTTAAAGCTCATACATATTTTAAAATGAGACCCATAAATAGTTAGATTTTGTTGTGATTTGCTACACAATGTTTATGGCTTTAGTATGTTGCAATATATGCTCACTACAAAATAAAATATGAGGTGAGATAAAAGCTGCCAGCTCCTTTGAATGATGGTAGGATAGATAAAAGCTAAGGATAACAAGGGGATATCTCATGGATGGATTAGAGAAAATGATAGATCAACTATAAGGTGAAATCATCATTACTCAAGTGTGTATGTTGATGACGGCTTAATAGAAACATTTGGAACATATGAGGATAATTTTGTCATTTTGTTGGAAAACTAACAAGGTCCAAAACAGTTTGACCTCGATAGTGGCATATAAAAGATAGTAAAAGTTTTTGTTGGATGGCATATAGGAAATAGTAACTTTCCAGTGGCATATAAGAAAACTCGCAAACTTTGAGTGGCTTATAAAATTTTTCTCATTATTTATATAAAATGGAGTGAACTTGCATAGCGTATACATGACGCCCTGTGATCACAAAAACAAATCATGCATCCTCTCACGTTTCTAGTCAAACCTTCTTGTTAGGCGATGATTAATTAATTATTCTAGTCAAATTTTTTAGAACCTATTATCTCCATATATGTTTTTAAATGTGTATTTATTGTCGAATGTCACAGTGTGCTAGTACTACATAAACTTGTGTTCAAAAGGTACTATATTCTGTATTCAAATGATGTGTTCTTAGTTCTTACTACAAGCTAGAAGAGAGAGGGAGTAACTAAAATCACAGGTTAGCATGGGACCGAACCAACCAGAAACCCAGATCCCCCTGTCTCTCTTCTCCAACATGCATGTATGCACGCCGTCTGCCTCTGCCTCGCTGTGATCTCTGCGACTCCGCTCTGGAAATCTGAATACGAGCGCCCTCTGATCCGTCGTCCTCGTCTTTAGTACGTTCCAAAGGCGAAGCGCAGCCCACTGCTACCTACTGTCCGCCTGTCCGCTGTCACTACAGTCGCAGCTGGTTGGCTGGCTGGTAAATCCAGCGAGCAAACAGGGAAGAGAGGCCAGCATAGAGGAATTGAAGGACCAAAGACGCCATGGCCAAATGGATCCTATGATGTAAACGGTGTAGGACTCTACTGGCAAATGTATATGTTGATATGCATATGTGCACAGCATGATGCGCTCGTGTGGCCCTCTCTCTGCCACTGATGGTGAGTCGAGAGAGCACTGTGCACTGTGCACTGTGCTTGTTGGTGGTGGTGCCACCAGCTACGGAGAATAGTAACATTCGCAATTTCTTTGTTCACTTTCTATTCTCAATCAATCGTTACTTTTTTCTAATCATTCTCAGCAACTTTCTTTATACTCGTGTAAATCTCAAAA